TCTTTTTTTCTTGTAATAATTTCATTTCAGATGAGACCACACCCTATTCTTTTTCTACCTTCAGAAAAGTAGGTATCTGGGGGCTGGGGTTGTGGCTCAGTGGTAGATGCTTGCCTAGCATGTGTGAGGTCCTGGGTTCAATTCTCAGCACCACATACAAATAAATCAAAAATAAAGATCCATCAACAGCTAAAACACACACAYACACACACACATTTTAAAAAGACTATCCTCTTGGGGCTGGGGATGTGGCTCAAGCGGTAGAGCGCTCTCCTGGCATGCGTGCAGCCCAGGTTCGATCCTCAGCACCACATACAAACAAAGATGTTGTGTCYGCCGAAAACTAAAAAATAAATATTAAAAAATTCTCTCTCTCTCTCTCTTTAAAAAATAAAAATAAAAAAAAGACTATCCTCTCTGGTGGATTTTTTTTTTTTTTAAAGAAAGAAAAGTAGGTATCTGAACTTTAGGGCTTAGGTGGATGATGCACAACAGTTTTTCTAGCCTCAGGATTCTAGAACTCCCCCTTCTGTTCTTTCAGTGACTTCCCAATTCCTTTTCATTGGATCCTTCTTTGCCCTTCTGCTCCAGGATTCTCAGTTTGAGTTCTACCCAGCACTGTCTCCTGGGGCCTGGGTTTTCCTGAAGGGAGTTTGGGTGGCGAGTTCCTGGGGCTCCGAAGCCCTCACCTGAGCCCTGGAGCTCCCTGGTCCCCTGGAGCACACACATGCTCTCCCCCAGGCGGCTCTGCCAGGCTTACAGAGTTCCTGCTGGGGGATCTGGATCCTCCCATTCTCAGGTCTGGAAGATGCTCTGATTGCTTCTGTCTCTTATATCTGTTCTTTTCTTCTTGCGACCATTTTTGCATTCTGAGGTCACTCAAGTTGTGTAGCTAGTGATTTATCCCTTTCTCCTCAAATTTTGACTTTCATGTTAATACCTTATCACAAAATAAGATTCTACTATAGTTCATGCTCTTTTGGTTTTGCATTCTAATTGTGCTTCTTCATGTGGGGATCTAGAAAGATGGAAAAAACACCCATGTGCCACCCTCATCTTCCCAGAATCCCCACTCTAAGTGGTTTTCATGTCACCCTTTTTCCCGGTTGAGAACAATGGTTACTGTTTTCATTTTTTTAATCTTCATTAAGTTTTTATAACTTGATTATGCTAATTTTTTAAAATATATTTTTTAGATGTTGATGGACCTTTATTTTGTTCATTTATTTATATGCGGTGCTGAGAATTGAACCCAGCAGCACTTGACCACTGAGCCACATCCACAACGCCTTTTGAGACAGGGTCTCACTGAGTTGCTTAGGGCCTCACTAAGTTGCTGAGGCCAGCTTTGAACTCATGATCCTCCTGCCTTAGCCTCCCGAGCTGATGGTATTACAGGCATGGCCACCATACTCAGCCTGTGAGTGTGTCTTGCCACTGCCTTCTTCCTGCTCTCTTAGTGTTTCATTATTTCTCCTTTCTGCTTTTTGGGGCTGAGTGTTTAGGTTATTGTTTTCTTGGTAAACTTAATATTTTTTTCTGGTTGTAGTTTTGGCCATGTCCTATAGGTAATGTCTAAGTTATTTTAATCTCCTAAGTGTTCTTAGAAATGCAATTTGAGGGTCAGGCGCAGTGGCGAACACCTGTAATTCTAGTGGGTTGGGAGGCTGAGGCAGGAGGATCACAGGTTCAAAAAGCTAGCCTCAGCAATTTAGTGAGACACTGTCTCTAAATAAAATATAAAAAGGGGGTAGGGATGTGGCTCAATGGTTAAGCACACCTGGGTTCTATCGCAGTACTAAAAAAAATGCAATTTGATTTTCTTTTTTTAAATTTGTTTTTAGTTGTTGATGGACCTTTATTTTATTTATTGGTATGTGGTGCTGAGAATCGAACCCAGTGCCTCATGCATGCTAGGCAAGCGCGTTACCACTGAGCCACAACCCGAGTTCCACAATTTGATTTTCTTTATAAATTATTTAAAATAATGGTGGTCTTCGTTTTTGGTGGATTTTTTAAATAATTTTTAATTGTTGATGGACCTTTATTTTGTTTACTTATTTATATGTGGTGCTGAGAATCGAACCCAGTGCCTCACACATGCCAGGCAAGTGCTCTACCCCTGAGCCACAACCCCAGCCCCTTTGGTGGATTTTGGTTCTTTGATTTTTTGCTTTAAATTTTCAAGTGGTTAGATGATATTTTACATTTAAAATCAACATACCTGGTCCTTTACTAAGAGCATCATCTTCTTCATCAATGTGTGGCAATCCATTATCTTCTTTGACATCTATCACTGCTTCTGTATGTATTCCAGGCCCTGCATTTATATCAGACATCACATTTTGGGCTACAATTTAATAAGTTTTATGTTTGTGGAATTATTTTATGGTTCAGGAATCACTTGATATCTTTTGCCAAAATAAATGGGATTTTTCTTTCTTTTTTTCTTTAGTACCAGGGATTGAACCTGGGGTGCTTAACTACTGAGCCACATACCCAGCCCCCCACCCTTTGTTTTTGTTTTGTTTTTTTTGGAGACAGGGTCTCACTAATTTGCTGAGGCTGTCTTTGAACTTGTGATCCTCCTTCTTCAGCCTCCTGGGCCACTGGCATGCACCAGTGCCCCCAGCTAAACAGCACTTTTCAAATTATTCACCTTGAAATTAAAGCCTTCCAGACTAGCTTTGTCAATCATTGTTATGTCCTTAGATGTGTTAGGCACATAAGGAAGATCAGAGAACCCAAAACACAACCCTATGGGCCTTCACAAGATGACTGGGACCACACAGGCAGGGTGGAGTCACGAGAAGAACCTTTGGTGCCACCCTTCAGCCTCAGAGAGGCTACAGTAAACTATTTAGATATCAGGGACAACATATTTGATAACATCTGTCTACAATCCGCTTAGTCTTAAGCACCATTAAGACAAGAGAGCTATGTGCCTCAGGGAATTTTCTCTTCTAGAGAACTATGATTATTCTCAAAAGAGTAACTCAAGGGGCTGGGGATGTGGCTCAAGCGGTAGCGCACTCGCCTGGCATGCGTGCGGCCCGGGTTCGATCCTCAGCACCACATACCAACAAAGATGTTGTGTCCGCCGAGAACTAAAAAATAAATATTAAAAATGCTCTCTCTCTCTGGGGAGGTGGCTCAAGCGGTAGCGCGCTCGCCTGGCATGCGTGCGGCCCGGGTTCGATCCTCAGCACCACATACCAACAAAGATGTTGTGTCCGCCGAGAACTAAAAAATAAATATTAAAAATGCTCTCTCTCTCTCTCCCCTCTCTCACTCTCTCTTAAARAAAAAAAAAGAGTAACTCAAAAGAGATATCCCACTTTCTACCCTTATTATCTAGGCTAATTGGTATAATTTCTAATTTCCCCATCCTTTTAAGTGGTGTTGATTTTCTAATCACTTGGCATATTTTAAAATCAGAGATTCATATAATTATATGCAGTCCAGGTCAGAACAAGACTGGATATGAAGGAAGATTAATTCTTATGTTCGTTGTCATAGATACCTCCTAGCTGAAAGACAGTAAGTCACAGCCACCTGCATGCAAAAATCAGATGAAATGGGATTTGAGAAAAGATGCCACATGGGTGGAAGGAAAAGTCTTAGCAGCTGACAAAGTAGTAGCCATGGGCACAATGGCTAGCAAACAGTAGGTGCTCAATCATTGTTAAAGGAACAACCAGAAAGATCCAGGGCAAGATCAAGGTATAGCTAAAACTAAAGATGAATCACCAGCTAATAACATCATTGGTGAAATACAGTAACTGGGGTTTCTTTTGTAGTTGTGTTGCTTTCATAGGAATTGTACGTCTTGAGGATAGCTTTGGGGACAGTCATGAGACTGGCTCTCTGCTAGGATGCTGACCACCACAGGAGAAAAACTGCACAGCCTTGCAGATTAGCCCCAGAGGAGAGGAAAACATGGAGTGAGGGTTGTATAAGGAAGCCAGGGGAAGAGGGTTTCCTGAGAAAGCAGTTCACAGGAGGGCAGGGTTACAGGGCGACAGCGCAAAGTCACTGGTGAGGAAGGGGAGCGTTGGGTATAGGGAGAGCAAGCACTCATTTGGGATGAGCCACGGGAGACACAGGCCGGCAGGCAGAGAAGCCGGGTGCAACCTTTCCTCAGTAAAGGGAGCAGAGAAAGCGAGAGGCTATGGAGGGCAGGCGGGATGACAGTGATCTCCTTCTCTACATATTGCAGCGGGTGCCATGCTCATGAGCAAGACCAGCTAGAGAGGGAGTGAGTGCCAGGAAGAGACAGTCCCTGCACAACAGGTGCTCCAGGAGGAGGCAGCCCAGGACAGAGCCTTGAAGAAGTCACCATTTGGTGGGTAGCTGACCACAGGAACCTAGGCCAGAGCCACTGAAAGCACCTGTGAGATGAGGCAGAAAGTCCCCACCAATTGTACTAAGATCCAGACCCTGGGGGGTCCTAGTGAGGACAGGGATGAGGTTGGAAGCGATGGGCAGGAAGTGAGGAAGCGCAGTCAGCAGGGGGAGAGCCCAGAGGTACTTCCCTAGGAAAACCAGAAAGGAGGCCCATGAGAGCAGGCCGGCACACAGACCAGGCCTCAAAAAAACAGGGAAGATGAGACTCTTCAGCAAAAACAGGTGACTGGGGATATAGCCCAGGCAGGGCCCAGGTGAGGCCATCCAGCTGTTTAGTACTGGTCCTGCCTGGAGAGGGAATGCCCATGGCCCTGGTAGGAGGGCTGGGAGCGGCTTATCAGCCTCCTTATATAAGAGAGAAACTTGTAAAGTTTAGAAGACTGGATGTAACTAATTAGCAGCATTTTATAAGTGTGAAAGTTCTCCAGTTAAGGGCTGGGGGTGTGGCTCAGTGATGGAGTGCTTGCCTCACACATGTGAGGCCCTGGGTTCGATCCTCAGCACCACATAAAAATAAATAAACAAAATAAAGATATTGTGTCCTCTATAACTAAAAATATATTTTTTAAATGTTCTCCAGTTAAAATACTCACCATTCTGGGATAAGAAGGCCAGCCCTTTTCCTGAAGGTTTAAAATTCATTTTGGAACATTTGTCATCACTTAGAGACTTCTTGATCTTGGGCTTTTCCATTAAAACAACAACAACAAAGTAAAATATTACTTCAGCATCATCATGGACTATAAAACTAGTTTTCTACATCATAAGTAATTATAAAATTCCTAATAAGGCCATTCTCAGCTAAATTTGACCTTTTTTGGAGGGTGGAGATACCAGGGATTGAATGCAGGGGCACTCAACCACTGAGCCCCATCCTAGCTCTATTTTATGTTTTATTTAGAGACAGGGTCTCACTGAGTTGCTTAGCTCCTCACTTTTGCTGAGGCTGGCTTTGAATTTGCAATCCTCCTGCCTCAGCCTCATCAGTGTGACCTTGGCATCACTTAGACCTCATCAGTATGAAGAAGGCTTGTGGTGACAGACGCACATTCTGGGGACAGGCTGCACGGTACAAACCCAGCTCCACCATTCACTGGTTACGAGATCATGGACATAATCTTTCAGTGCTACAGTCCTCTCCTGGAGGTAAGAGGACCTTAAGGTCATTTGGGGCATTAAGTGAGCTGACACCTGGGAAGTGCTTGGCATCTGGCAAGGCCCCCATAAGCATGAGCTGCTGCCATTTGCTTGCTAGAATCTCCCTTTCCTCATCAGCAGGTGAGTGCTTGTAAGACAGGCGTTCTGTCCACTGCCAGCCACAGCTGTGTCAATGTGACATGGTGGGCTGTAAATACAAACCTCTGATTTCCTTAATCTCATATCAGGGAAGAATCCTAACTTGCTTGAAGATGACTTGGTGTTGCTRAAGGTAACGACGTCAGACTCGTGGCTCGTGACTACACTTGGACTCCTGTTGTGGATGCTCTAAGCAAGGACAAGCACAGAGGGTTTCCAGCTTCCAGGGAGACACGTGCACACACATTCACATGTGTTTTTCTAACAAGGTATAACTGGCTTTCCTCCCCCACTAGGCAACCACTGTTTTGCTTTCCATCACTACACATTGCTTTGTACTTTACAGAATTTTATATAAATGTCATCACACAGTGTTCATCCTTTTTGCCTGGATTCTTTCACCCAGCATAAATTATTTTGAGATTCATCTGTGTTGTTATTTTCTCACTGAGTCATGCCCCACTGGTCTAGATATAAAAATGTCTTTAGCTAGGTGGGTGATCTGAAGATTTTTGACTATTGAACTTGTTTTATGGCCACCTATTAGGTGTGAGGCAGTATCTTACTGTAGTTTTGACTGGGATTTCACTAATGATTAGCAATGTTGATCATCTTTTCATGTGTTTATTGGCTTTTTTTTTTTTTTTTGGTAGCAGGGATTGAAGCCAGGGATGCTTAACCACTAAGCCACATCCCCAGCCTTTTTAAATTTTATTTTATTTATTTTTTTGTTTTTGAGACAGGACCTTGTTAAGTTGCTAAGGATGGCTTTGAACTTGCAATCCTCCTGCCTTAGTTTCCTGAGCCACTGGGATTACAGGTGTGCACCACTCACCTGGCTATTTGTATACCTTCTGTGGAGAAATGCATATTCAAGTTCTCTGCCCCTTTTTTTTTTTTAACTGGGTGGGTTTTGTTGCTGTTGTTGTTTTTGCTATCGAGTTTTAGAAGTTTTCTGTATATTTCATATGTGTTGTAACCTTTTTTTTTAAGTTGTAGATGGACACAATACCTTTATTTTATTTATTTATTTTYATGTGGTGCTGAGGATGAAACCGAGTGCCTTACACATGCTAGGCAAGTGCTCCATCTCTGAGCCACAACCCCAGCCCCTGTGTTGTAACTCCTTAGAGGATATATGGCTTGTAAATACTGTCATCCCTTACCCATAGGCTAATAATGTCTGATGCACAGAATTTTTCAATGTACACAGTTTATAGGTTTTTATTTTTTAAGCAATCTAATAGTAGTGACCTTTGATACACCATTTGTCCTTTCATTTCATTCTGCATTTATGATTTCTTACAGAGTAGATCTCATCATAACTTACCCACCTCAACTTTTGCTTATCTGTGAATTTCTTAATTTCTTACTCATTTTTAAAGCGAGTGACATAAGAATTTTGGTTGGCAGATTTTTGTTTTAATGTTTTGAATATATCAGCCCACTGTCTTCTGGCCTCCAACTATCCTCGGGGACCTGTTTAGCATCTTTTGTGTACTCATATTTTTATGTCCCTTGATACCTTTGCTCTGGCACAAGCTTTCTGCTCTTTTAAACACTACATACACATGACTGATAATGACATCATATTTCCCAATGTTATCTAATCAGTATGCATGCTGGCTTCCATTATGATACCTTCACTGCTGTGGCGAGGAGTCTCCTTCCTTGATCATTTCCAGGAAATACATTTTCCCTAACTTAAAAAAGCAAAACAAAGCAATATACACCTTTCAAAACGTGAAAAGGCATAAATTTTAAGTTTTAAATTATTTCCTAGAAGGGTTCAAATGCCCAAGATAGTTTTATTTTTTGATTTTTTTTAGTTGTAGATGAACACAATACCTTTATTATATTTATTTATTTTTATGTGATGCTAAGGATTGAACCCAGTGCCTCACATATGCTAGGCAAGCCACAGCCTAGTCCCCCAAGATAGTTTTGATGGAGGTTTAGCCATTCCAGAATAAAACCATTCCTTGTTTGTAAATTCTAAGATTATGTTACCTGACTCATTACCATTTGAATACTTCCAATTTTGTTTCCAAACAGATCATCATATTGAGCATGTAAACAGGATTTATTCATTTGGTCAGGAACATAGCTGACTGCAAAGCATAAGAGAGCTTCAAAGAATTCCAGGAAAACCAGCTGAAATAGAAGAAAACATAGGGATGTCACTCATTCTGACACACCTAGAAGCAGACCAGAGATTGATTTGGGTGTTCATTTCTTATTCATTTTTCCTGACATTGAAATATCCTTCTTTCTAATATTAATCTCTATTATTCTAACAATCAAAAATGTATATGTGGGTTGGGATTGTGGCTCAGAGGTAGGGCACTCGCCTGCCATGAGTAAGGAACTGGGTTCAATCCCCAGCACCACATAAAAATAAAATAAACATATTGTGTCCACCTATAACTAAAAAAATAAATATTAAAAAATGTATATGTATATACACACAGACACACAGTTTCATATATTTGGGTTCAGATTCTTTCAATCAGATCTTGGTTCTTGGTGTCCAAGGTAGAACAAACACCATTTGTGACACATCTTTACAAACCTCAAGTTCTAAGTTGCTGTCGACCCCATCATGTATGAAAGGATTGTCCTCTGCTATTACTGCCACAAATTTGGTTGCAGTTAATTCTTTATTTATCATCCTAAAGTCCTATAAAAGCAAAAACCAACCACATCATAACTGTGCATAATTAATTATAAACAGGTTTATATTTTAATGTCATGCACATCCTAGTGTTATATAACACTTTAAGAAAATATGCCAGAAATCAATATCTTAAAAACTATCATAGTGAAATGCATTCTGGACTACCATTAGTATTTGCCTCTCTACCCCTTTTCTAATCTCTCTAAAACAACAAAGTATGATTTTTCACCCAGACACAGGACAGACAAAATGGAAGTTGGATGATCCAGGTTTAAAATATCAACATGTTCCATGGGCTGGGCGAGCTGAGCTGCTGGCCCAGCTGAGCTGCTGGCCCTGGTGAACAAGGCAAAGGCACTCAGGAGGAGAGAGGCCAGTGTGCAGCTTGGGAAGGAGAGGTGCCACAGCAGCCCAGCTCAGGAAGTCGAGTGTGGCTGGTCCCCTCTCTACACTGAAGGTTTTCTCTCCACAAAAACTGGGTCAGAGAGAATTTGGGCAGAAAACACTTGGCTTCCCTCGAGTCACAGTGCTTTGCTGAAAAGATAGATTAAATGAAATGGGTCTTGATAAGGCCCTTCTCCCACACCCAGTTTTGCCCTTCACTCTGTCCTAAGGCCTGTGATAATCAGGCACCTGTGTCCCACGCAGGAGTCAGGAGACATCTTTTGGAAAACCCCAAGAGAAAAGCTCCATCAGCATTCACAGTTTGCAGCAAGGCAGGTTCCTGGCTGATCCCTCTACAGTGAAACCTATTCTTTGACAAGTGCCACCTAATAGCTTTAGAGCACTGCAGTCTTACATGTGTGTGACAGCCAAGGTTCACGACACATCAGAGGGAAAGGCTTACTGTAAACACCAAGGAACCAAACCAGATGGACAAAAAACAACATTTGGAGGGAACAGAGGTATTCTGTAAGAACAGAGAAAAACCATTAAGCCTCCCCCCTTCAAATCATGTCTTTAGTGGGATAAGAGATATTATGTCCATATTAAAATAAAAAACCCTGAATTGCTAGAATACTAATTCATTATTCTGAAAATTAACCAAGGAAAAAAATCAACCATTTCTCCCTCCCTTCCTGTATGGATTATATCTCAAGAGTACTCAATCAATGAAGTAAGTTCTTGAAGACTCACAGCTAATGAATGTACAAGAAATGACAGATTTGGAAAATTGCCATTGTATAGTCTCTTGTGAACTAATGGACATTAGTAATGACCACTGGGGGCTGCAAAGCCCCTAGACAGGGTTTATGGGAAACATAATAGACGATCATGCTGACACTGTATGACCCACTGATCAATCACAGCATCACTACAAGGAATCACTCTTGATGAGATGTAACAGGAAAGACATATACCACCTGTGGCTTGGTCACAAAATAAAAACCTGAATCTCATCAATCCCCTAATCCAGCCACTATCATGAGAGTGTGGGGAAAAGAAGAWGATGTCAGACGCCACCTCTAAAAGCCACACCATTCTCTTCAGAGACAGTCCACAGTGCCTTTGCCAGGAGTATGAACCCTTGCTTGCCGCTCTGTGAGTCCCCCCTCTGAAATCCTTCATGTGGGAGCGTGAGGGCAGATGGCTGCAGATCCCCATGGATTACTTGGGGTCACTTGAACCCCATTGTCACTTGGGCCCCTTGGAACCCCCTCTACCACAAAAACCAGGATGTCTGACTTAGTCTGCAAGGACAGATGACCAAATTTCTTCAGTAATAAATGACCATGAAGAAAGGGGAAGGTAGACAAACAGGTATATAATATTCTAGTCCCCAAATCATATACCCTTAAAAAATTATTTTCCTACAGTAAGACACTAAGTAATTGTCAGTTTTTCATAATGCATAGCACTTTAAAAATGTTAAGCACTCTATCATTAGTGTTCTATTTTCCCATCATTTGCATTCTCAAAATTTCAATTATTGTGGAACAAAACTATCRTTAGTATAAGAATATTGCATAAATAAAGTCTCACTTTTTTTCAAATTAACTTTTAAAAATCACTTTTCTGATGAGCATTCTTTTTTTTCTTTTTGAGACAGGACTCGCTGTTGCCCACACTGCCTCCACCTCCCAAGTACCTGGGACCGCAGGCCATGGCACGGCGCCCCACATGAACAAGTCCTCCTCCTGTCTTCCTTGAAAGGCAGGACTGCAGGAGTAAAGGTGCTGTCACCCAGGCCGTTCCCTCCCCTCACCTGTGGCACCGTCCCTGTATCTGGGCTTCCCACCATTACAGACCCTTTACATGACTCTCTTCTGCCAAAGAGGACTCAGTAAACATTCAGTGACCATGAAAATCCATTCCAAATCTTTACCTCATTACATATCACACCTAGAATACCTTTCCTTTAATTAATATAAAAATACCTATTAATAGAAAACCAACTTCAGAGACTTTATTTTTCCTTGTGGTACTGGGGATTTAACCCAGAGGCACTCTATCACTGAGCTACATTCCCAGCCCTTTTTAAATTTTTATTTTATTTTTATTAGACAGGGTCTTGCTGAGGTGCCCACAGTGGCCCTGAATTTGTGACCTCCTGCCTGAGCCTCCCAAGTCGCTGGGATTTACAGTGGTGTGCTACCATGCCAGGACCAGTTAAAGCCAATTTCAAACCGAAGTGGTATTAAACTTACTCTCAACATCCAGAGGAAGTGTCTCATCTTCATTGTAAGCTCATTGGGTGGAGCTACATTTGGTCTGCAATAAGCTATGTAAATCTCCCAGCACTTATCAATGTAATTCATTGAGTAGAGTGTCCTCTGTTGCTCACTGAACAAAGTGCCTAAATAGAACATTCCAAAAGTGATTATAGAATTAAATTGTGAAGAAATGATAGCAAATGTAATCCTATTTTTCTTTTTCTTTCTTTTTCTTTTTTTTTTTTTTTATACTGGGGATTATACCCAGGGACACTTTACCACTGAGCTACATCTCCAGCCCTTTAAAATTTTTTTGAGATAAGGTCTCACTAAATTGCCCAGGCTGAATTCAAACTAAACTTTTGATCTTTGAGATCCTCCTGCCTCAGCCTCCTAAATTGCTGGGATTATAAGTATGCAACAGCACCTAGCCTGATCCTATTATTCTTATATTTACCTTTTACTTGGCAGGCATTTGGATGGATATTCTCAGTCATCAGTTTTGTGAAACACAAAAAGAGCGATGGACTTCTGCTTCTGTGATTAAAAATACCATAATTAGGCCTGGGGTTGTGACTCAGCTGTAGAGCACTTGCCTAGCATGTGCATAGCCCTTGGTTTGATCCTTAGCACCACATAAAAAATAAATAAATAAATAAATAAAATAAAGGTATTGTGTCCAACTACAACTAAAAAATAAATATTAAAAAAATACCATAATTACTCCTCGCCCCAGAAGCTAGAACTTAATTCTTTTCTGGATTGTGGGCAAGATTTAATACTTCTAAAAAATACAGTATAAATAGAAAGGGGAGAAGGGGAAAATGCAAGTTTCAGTGGAAAAACTTGCCTGACGCCATTTAATCTGTGAGCCAGGTTAGCATCACTAGTAACAAGACACACCGACATCACACACTGCCTGTATGACATGATAGGAAGGGCAGTTCACTGCCACAGTGTTCTTCACCCAAATCCACTCCGCAGTGTAATCAAGAGAAGATATCAGATGCCAACCAAAACCATGGGACATTTTACCAAATAACTGACCAGCATTTCTTAAAATGTAAAGAGTCCAAGAAAGTGTCATAGATTAGAAGAGTCTGAGAAGACATGACAACAAAATGAACTGTGGGATCCAGGATTAGATCCTGGAACAGAAACAAGAGAGGGGAAAAACTGGGGAAATCCTACTAGTATCTAGGGTCACTTGACCACTGAGCCACATCCTAGCCTTATGTTGTATTTTATTTAGAGACACAGTCTCACCGGGTTGCTCAGTGCCTCACCATTGCTGAGGCTGGCTTTGAACTCGAGATCTTCCTGCCTCAGCCTCCAGAGCCACTGGGATTACAGCTGTGCACCATCGCACCCAGTGATTCCTTACTTTTGATAAATGCATCATAACTACATAAGAGTCACCAGTAGGAGAATTTGAGTGAAGGATACACAGGAGCTCTACACACTACTCAACAACTCTGAAAATCTAAAATTATTTTTTAAGATAAAAAGTTAAAATATATATATATATATATATATATATATATATAATCACTTTTGCTCTAAGACAGACAGGAAATTATGACATAAGAAGTAAGAGTTAGTTGTGATTATTTCTCAATAGAATTCCAAGAGCTATTTGCAATATTAAACAACTCAGATATGAAGGGTTTTCAAAGCCTAATCTAATATCTTATTGCTTTGTGGGTGATATTTGTGGAAAAATTTTGGTCCTAGTCCTGCATTTCAAAGATATGTAAAAACACTGATTAACAGAGACAAGAGGACAGCACTGTAATTACAGTACAGGTGGGCTCCGAGTCAGCCCCTCACAGGGATCCAAGAGTGGTACTTACTGAAAGTCTTTGTGATAAATGTGGTAAGCCAAGCGCAGCAGATAGTTCAAGAATGTTCTCAAAAGTATTGTTCTAAATGGAGAATGAATTTCTTCAACTGGTATATCACTGTTGGCTAAAATTTAAAAATTGGAAAGGATGTGTAACATATTCTAGAACCTTGAGCACTGAGATCAAGGACACAGGTTAATTTCTGGAACTCCTTTCCCGACTTTTTCCTTCCCTACTCTCTCAACATTTCTGAACTCGTTTGCAAGTGGCAGTGTGATACACTGTCCTCTAAACCCAAAGAAGTAAAGGACCTTGGATACTCACCACTTAATATCCTGTCCATATCAGCAAGAGTTATATTGTGGTGATGAAATTTGCAATCTTTTAGAAATCTCCAGAAGTGAAGCTTTGTCATCAGAAATGTATTATCCAGAGAGTGATCACATCCTAGGCTACTGTAGAAGCTATAGATTCTTCTTAATTCTGTAATGTTTCTTAAGACAGCGAATTCTACCTGAAAAAAGTCGGCCGTGTATCTTAATCCTGCTTCATAGGAGGAACAGTAAAAGACAAAGCACCTGTTTTCTAAATCAAATGAGGACAGTACATGTAAAGAAAGCAGGTACTTCTTACCTGGGGGAGCTCAATGTTTTATTCTGCCTGTCATCCCCAGTCAATAAAATACCATTTCTGAACAGTAAAAAAAATCTGGAAAATGAAGTTCCTTTCACACTGCAATATGATGGCATCCTGTCTCAATGGCAGCAATAAAATTCTATTGTCATTATCCCTCCTGAACATAGATGCAAAAATCCTTGTGACAAAATAATTGAATCCATATGTAAAACAAATAATACATCAACACCAAGTGGAGTTTATGCTGGCTGGGGGTGCACAGCTGGTTTGGACATTTGAAAAAACAATCAACAAAATTCACCATATTGGTACATTAAATAAGAAAAGCTTCATGATCATACCAGTTGATGCATTTGACAGAATGAACATCCATTCATGATAAAACCAGCAGCAACTTAGGAATAGAAGGGAACTCCTTAACCTGATAAACAGCATGTACCAAAGACATCTAGCTAACACAGTTAGGGATGAAGATATGCACTAAGCAATGTCCATGCTGATTGCTGTACTAACCTCTCTCTGTCCCCAGTTCACCTTTTAGTATTTTCCCAGGCCTCCAATGCCCTTATGCGGTCCTGAACTCCCCATCCACACAGCCTGACGGCCTGTATAGTGTCCCCCTCTTCAAAACCAGTTAGCCTGTGTCTCTCCCTCTTAAACATTCAGAGAATGTGAAGAATAGCATTTGGGGTCCCCAAGGAGAACCAAAAGCCCCCACCTGGATGGTGCATCAGGCATTGGTTACTCTTGCCATTAACTCCTGCTTTTTGAGATTCAGTTCAATGCACAACACAGAATTTGTCTTCATGAAGCTTAAAATYGAGTAATAAACGCAAGACATGCACCTTAAGCAATAAGGAGGTATCGCTGAGAGAACCGAACCAAGGTGAAGAGAAATCCTAAAGCAGCAGCTCCTTGGAGGAGGGTGCACTTGAACTGAACCTGGGAGAACGGAATGAGCAGTAGAATTTCACAGAGCAGGCATCCCAAGGAGAGGCCGGGCCTGGAACAGACAGTGGCTGGGGTGGGGGGCTCCAGGAACACCAGGAGGGCTTGCAGTGAAGCAGTCATCCCCTTCTGCCCAGCCCATCCTGTGCAAAATGGGACAACCCCAGATCTGCCCAGAGGCTGCTGGGAGGATTCAGTGAATTGAAGGCATTTGGGACCGTGCCCAGAGCCAAGTGCGACTCTGCAGCAGCAAACCAGTGTTCTGTGGGTCATGGTGAGGAGGAGAGGACTGACAGAGGCAGGCTGGAAAGGGGCTGATGTCAGATCATGTGACAAAGGCAACCATTTGAGGGAGAACTGGTAGCTCAAAGGCTCAGAGGACCACGGCCTATTTGCTTTAGCTTGTTCTGGTCAAAAATAGAATAATCCAGAACCTCTACTCAGATACCCACCTTTTGACAGAATGCCAATAATAGATAATAAACACATATACTTGTGAAGAAAATCTTAAACCCAAATTGAGATTCTAAAAAATAACTAAGCAGTCCTCTTGAGAGGTCTCAAGATCATGAAGACAATGGAAAATGAAGGAGCTGTCACAGGTTAGAGGGTTAAGGACACAGACAACCCAGTGCAACATGGGGTCAGGTTGAATGCCAGAACAGAAAGAGGACATTAGGAGAAAAACTGGTAAAATTCTGCCCTAGAAGTTGGTAGTGGGGCAACAGTGTTGCTATAACGCTCATTCCTGGGGTCTGTCCACTRTACTATGGTCATGCACGATGGTACATTAAGGGAAGCTGAGAGGAAAGATATATGGAGATCACAATTTTTTGAACTCTATAAGTCTAAAATCAGCTCACAATCAAAAGTAAAAAGTAAGTTATAGAAAATTCACTAAATTTCAATACGTCTATCATGAAATATTATAGTCATTAAAAATATTTAAATGTATTCCCCGAGTGTAGAATCACAGGATCCTTTACTTTCTGTGTCATATTTCCATAATGTTTGAATTTTTGGTAAGAGCATATGTTCCTTTTGTGATTATGATATAGTCAAGATATTTTTAAATCTATAAGTTGTATAAGACCCACATATTTGACAGAACTCCAAAGTGTAAAATGGTATAATAATAACATATAAGAGATTTTATGTATATTACATTATTATAATATAAGAGATTAGGGAGAGAATAATGTAAACAATATGATCACACCTTTCTTGGTAAATATTTTTCACCTAAAAATTATATTGTAGGAGCACATCTTATGGCACTGAATAGCTAGCATTAAATTCCATGTGAAGACAAAGATTTTGTGAATGGAATGATTCTAGTTCTATCTATGAACATTAAAAATTGGAAAGAGGCAGCTCAGGAGGCTGAGGCAGGAGGATCATGAGTTCAAAGCCAGCCTCAGCAAAAGTGAGGCGCTCAGCTACTCAGTGAGACCCTGTCTCTAAATAAAATACAAAATAGGGCTGGGAATGTAGCTCAGTGGTCAAGTGCCCCTGAGTTCAAGCCCCAGTACCATCCCCCACCAAAAAAAAAAAAAATTGGAAAGAGGGAGCTGGGCTTGGTGGTACATGCCTGTAATCCCAGTGACTTGGGAGGTTAAAGCAGGAGCATTATAAGTTCAAGCCTCAGCAATTCAGCAAGACTCAGTCTCTAAAAAAATTAAAAGGGTTAGGGATTTAGCTCAGTGGTAAAGCATTCCTGGGTTCAGTCCCCAGTACACCCCCCAAAAAAATTGGGGTGAAAGAGGGTCACAAGATTTTATTGGGATGGAAAACCTCTCTTACTTTTTCCTCATCTGCTTTCTACATTTTCCACTTCTGAAATTAGGGAATGTGATGAAGACTCCTATTTTTTTATTTTTATTTTTTAGTTGTTGATGGACCTTTATTTTATTTATTTTTATGTGGTGCTGAGGGTCAAACCCAGTGCCTCACCCATGCTAGGCAAGCGCTCTACCACTGAGCCACAACCCCAGTCTGAAGACTCATATTTTTAACATGAATCTTGCAGTAGAATTTTGATTCTGGGAGCCTGAGTTACAGTGATGGCCTTGGAACCCAAAATAGGAGGAGAGGAGATGGAGTGAGGCATCTTCCTGAGACTCAGAGAACCAGGAGCCAGAGGAAGTAGCGATGAGGAAGAGGAAAGGGCAAAGACGCTTTGCAGCACAGAGGCTGGCTGGTTCTTGAAGTAACATCTTCAAGTTTCTGGAGGAAGCATGCCGGTCCCCAGTCTAAGCAGGGGCTGTGGTCTAACTGGTACCTGGTAGCTATAATTTTCCAGACAGTCATCTGTCTCTAAAGACTTCTCAATTTCCAGTGATTTCTAAGGGCCTGAAGTTCTCCTGAATCCTAAAAGTCTGCAATAATGCACAGCAGAATTAGCATCCCACTGAGGGAGGTGGCTACAGTCTTGGCCTTCAAACTGACCTGAGTGTGGGGGTGATGTGACTTTCAGTTTCCCCCCTTCCCTGTGGGCTTCCACTTTCTCACCAGCCTGCTCACTCACAGGGCTGCCTTGCAAATTAAACAAGATGATCTACTTAAAGCCTGTTATGCGTATGTATAGAAGACACTCCACAAGTGGCAGCAACCACCAGCTCTAGCATACGAGGACTGTGGAGATTCTGTTATTTAAATCTACAACATAAATTTATAGAATAAAAAGGTTTCTACCTGCTTTTTTTCTTCTGCTTGATTTTCCTTAGGATACATGTTCAGCAGCAAATTTACGTCCAGTTCAATGCCTGATCCTAACACAGAACGACTTTTACTGCCATCAAGCTTTCTGATAATTTCTAGCAAATGATGAAGACAAATAAAGGGGATAATTAAGAAAAACAATGTTAAAAGTTTTCACCATTACGTCAAAATGTTTTCTAACAAAATGTGATACAATCATATGAGGAAAAAACTAAGAAAACAGTAGCTACAGGAAACTTCTGTTTTTTGAAGTATCAGACATATTTTCATGAATGGACACATAGATAAAATCAGGCTGATTTGTTTTCAACTGAGTAAATGATCCTACCAGCACTATCAGAAGATTTGCGTTGCCTGTCTATTTGGGCATCATCTACGGGCAGGTCCAGGTAACTTATAAATTCAACTTCAAGATCTGGAAACTGTGCTATGTGGTCATTGAAAAACGGGCCTTCGTACACGCGCCCATTCTTGAAAGTCAATCGACCCTGCAGGTAGAAAACAACATTTTGCAGTTTGGGAAATGTTTCCTTGGGGGAAAAAAACATTGGTGGATGCACATCAAAGGCTCTTTCGAGGGTTTGGAGTTGAGGATTTTTTGTTGTTGTTGTTTTGTTTTGTTTTTGGTACTGGAATTGAACTACGGGGCACTCAACCACTGAGCCACATCCCCAGCCCTATTTTGTATTGTATTGAGAGACAGGGTCTCACTGAGTTGCTTAGTGCCTCACTGTTGCTGAGGCTGGCTTTGAACTCTGGATCCTCCTGCCTCTGCCTCCTGAGCTGCCTGATGGAGCTATTTGTTTTGAAGCTGCCACATACAGCCTGGCTCCTAGGGTATCATATCACTGTGTAAATCCTCTTTCCTCCTCCTCTTCCTGCTGCTTCTTCCCTCCTTCCCTCCTTCCCTCCTCCTTCTCTCCTCTTTCTATACCTACCCCAGAACCTCTCCCCAACTATAAGCCCCTCTACATCACAGAATGGGTCTTATTAAACTATGCACATGACCAGCATAGTGCCCAGGGCACAAGAGGTGCTTCCTGCTGCTTGTCAAAGTTCAATTACTGATTCAGAGGTGGGCAAATGATGCAGTTCAGTGAAATGAAAGACATTTATAGAAGGATTCAGGGAAAAGAATTTCTTTTCTTCTTAGTTTGGCTCATGGGCGTGAAGTCTTGAACCACGCAGCTATCCTGCAGTCATTGGGAAGGGAAAACACAAGAGTGAAGCTGACATGGGGGCAGATGATGTGGAGAGACGAAAGGAAATCCTGATATCAAAAAGTCACCGAATCAAACCAACCTAAGCCCACATTCACAGTAGTCTTTATTATATACGGCACCTCAAACTAGATTGTCTGATACTTTGCAACCCAAACCATCCTCACAAACATACACTCACTCATGAAACACAAACTAAATAACCTCTAAATATCCAGGAAATAGAAAACATGTCAAAAATATTTTTAAATTTATGTAACCACCTTAACAGTAAATTATCTATGCAAAATCGATAATGCAATTTACTGGCCACAAATGAGTCACATTTTACTGCATTTCAGTTGCTCTGTGTAATGTTTCAGATATAATCTTCCCGGGACCCTCACCATGCCGTGTTTTTTATTGGAAACCCATTCTCCCGCATACATGGCTCCACTGGCGTAGTAAAACTTTCCATGTCCATGACGACATCCGTTCACAAACTCTCCTATGTATTCATTTCTTAAAGGATACTGGGAGTTGGGGATTCTCTTGAGAAACCATGTGTGTGTTCCAAAGCCATTCTGAAAAGAAAGTGAGATGCCATCAGAAATGCTCAAAAGACTTCCTCCTTTTACCTGAATTCATTTGAAATTAAGACAAATACAGTGATAACTTGGAGGGCATGAACTTTGGAGCCACACAGACTAGGTTCAATATCAGCTCAGCTACTTACTAGCCAATCTTTTTACCTAAGACAAATTATGTAAGCCTTTAAGGGTTAATATCCATTCATAATAAAAACTGTAAGGAAATTGAGAATTAGCTGGGCATGGCAGTGCCTGTATATCCAGCATCTCAGGAGGCTGAGGCAGGAGGATTGTAAGTTCCAGGCTAGCCTCACCAACTTAGCAAGGCCCTAAGCAACTTAGTGAGACCCCATCTCAAAATAAAACACAAAAAGAATTAAAATAAKAAGAAGAAGAATTATTAAAGAGAGCTTCCTGAACCAGAAAAGGACATCTATGAAAAATCTACAGCTAACATCAACCCTGATGAAAGACTGAATTCTTTCCTAGTAGGATAAAAAATGCCATAAGGATTTCCGTACTTCTATCATAGAGGATGTCCTACCTTGCCAGGTAATACAATAGTAAGAGGGGAAACTCCAGACAGATTAGAAAGACGATATAAAGTTGACTGTACTTGCAAAGATGATTGCCTATATAAACACCACCAAAGAACCTACAAAAAAAGTGAAGCTATTATGTGAGTTTAACAAGGTCCCCATTCCCAGATTAATATATATTAGAAAATTCAAGTTTTATGAACTGATATCAAAGTTTTTCTCTTCTGTGCAGGAAATCCATCATTTGTTTCTTTCTTTCTCTTTCTTTTCACCAGTACTGGGGATTGAAGTCAGGGGTGCTTTACCACTGAGCCGCATCCAAAGCCTTGTTTTATCTTTTTTACATTTAAAATAAATTTTTCCACTTTTCCCTTTTTATTGGCTCTTTTTAGTTATACATAACATTAGGATTCATTTTGACATAACTAAAAAAGCACAGAATATAATTTGTTCTCATTCAGTCACTAGTACTTCCTTTTCTCTCCTCTTCTCCCCCGGGTTCCCTTCCCCTCCACTGATCTTTCTGCTATTTTTAGTTGTTTGGGTTTTTTTTCCTTTTTTTCCAAATATTTATTTTTTAGTTTTTCACAATATCTTTATTTTGTTTTTATGTGGTGCTGAGAATCGAACTCAGTGCTTCACGCATGCTAGGCGAGCGCACTACCACTTGAGCCACATCCCCAGCCCCTGTTTGGGGGTTTTTTATTTTTGTTTTTTAGTTACTATTTTATGGATGTACATGATGATGATATTCACTATGTTATATTCATATGTGCACACAGGAAAGTTAGGTCAGATTCATTCTTCCCTTAACCCTCCTTTCTTCCTCTTCCTCAATTCCCTGCATCTTTATTTTTATTTATTTTCTCAGGGAACTACTGAGGATTGAACTCAGGGGAACTCACCCACTGAGCCACCTCCCCAGGCCTATTCTATATTTTATTTAGAGACAGGGTCTCACTGAATTGTTTAGCACCTCACTTTTGCTGAGGCTGGCTTTGACTTGTAATCCTCTTGTCTCAGACTCCTGAGCCACTAGGATTACAGGCATGTGCCACTGTGCCTGGCTGATCTTTTATTTTGGTGAAATACCTCCGTTTCCCTTCTTCTCTTCCCTCCTCCCCTTATTTTGGACAGGCTTCTGCAGACCAGAGGAAACATTCGACCCTTGACTTTATGAATCTGGCTTATTTCACTTAGCATCTTGTCCTTCATTCCATCCACTTACCAGCAAATGCCATAATTTCATTCTTCTTTATGGCTATATCCATTGTGTATATGTACATTTTCTTTATCCATTCATCTGTTGATCCCACAACTTGGCTATTATGAATTGTGCTACTACAAACACTGATGTGGCCATATCACTATAGTATGCTGATCTTAGATATTTTGAATATGTACCAAAAAGTGGGATAGCTGGGTCATATGGTAGAGATTTTTGAGGAATATGCATATTTCTTTCCAGAGTGGTTGTACTAATTTGCAGTCCCTCCAACAATGAGTGTAATTTTTTTTTTCATATCCTTGCCAACACATTATTACTTGTATTCTTTTTTTTTTTTTTTTTTTTTTTTGGTACCGGGGATTTAACCCAGAGGCACTTTACCACTGAGCCATATCCTGAGCCCTTTTTATTTATTTATTTAAAATAGTCAATGGACCTTTATTTTTATTTATTTATTAAAATATTTATTCTTAAGTTTTTTTTTTAAGGTGGATACAACATCTTTATTTTACATTTACATGGTGCTGAGGGTTGAACCTAGTGCCCCGTGCATGCTAGGCGAGCACTCTACCACTGAGCCACAACCCCAGCCTCTATTTTATTTATTTATTTATATGTGGTGCCAAGAATCAAACCCAGTGCCTCACACATGCCAGACAAGCACTGTACCACTGAGCCACAACCCCAGTCCTTTTTATTTTTGAGAAAGGATCTCACTAACTTGCTTAGGGCCTCACTTAATTGCTGAGACTGGCTTGGAACTTGTGATCCTCCTAGCTCAGCCTCCCAAGTCACTTGCATTACAAGAATGTGCCACTGTGCCTGGCTACTGGTATTCTTGATAACTGACATTCTAATTGGAATGAGATGAAACCTCAGTGTAGTGTTTGATTAGCATTTCCCTGAATGCTAGAGATGTTGAACGTTTTTCCATATATTTTTTTGTCATTTGTATTTTTTCTTTTGAGAAGTGTCTTGTTTAGTCCTTTTGCCCATTTACTAATTGGGTTATTTGGTGGTAAGTTTCTTGAGTTCATTATATATTCTGAATATTAGTCCCTATCTGAGGAGTAGGTGGCAAAGATCTTTTCTCATTCTGTAGGTTCTTTCTTCACACTTTGCTGTGCAGAAGCTTTTTAATTTGATGCCATCCCACTTATTGATTTTGGGGTTTGTTTCTTGTGCTTTAGGAGTCTTTGTAAAGAAGTCAAGCCCTGTGCCAACATGTTGGGAGTGTTGGGCCTATGTTTTCTTCTAGCAGTTGCAGAGTTTCTGGTCCAATTCCTAAGGGGATCAAAGTTGACTTCTGTGCAGGGTGAAAGACAGGGGTCAAGTTCCATTTTTCTATATATGGCCCTTTTTATTTTTTTATTTCAAGACAGAGTCTCACTAAGTTGCCCAAGCTGAACTTGAACTTGCAATCCTCCTGCCTCAGCCTCACAAATTGCTGGGATTACAGGGATGTGTTACCACATCTGGCTGAAAATCCAACATTTCTAAAGTACAAATAATAGTCCCTGCCCTTACAGGAGCCACCTGAATTTATGAAGTTGCCAATGGCAGAATCTAGTAGTGTGACACTATTAGAGAACACTAAATAATAAAACTGCAATTAAAAAAAATACAGTTGAGACCAGTAAAGAATATTTTGAGTTTCTAAATTCAGCAGAGCTTAAATTTTAGATTATTGAACAATATCATTCAAATACCAGGGCTAAGGATGAGTATAGCATCGCTGTGGGTGTGCCGCGCCAAGATGGCCCAGTCCTACCTGGACTCCCCTCTCCCAGGAGCCGGTATACTCCTCATTTGTCGTCAGCCATCTCATCTTGCCTTCCCCGTGGCGCATATTGTCTTCCCACTGGCCTTCATATATGTTTCCAGATTTGTAACTGGAACAAAATAAACCAACAGGCAGCAAGCAGTGACAGAAATCCAGCCCTGGGACCCCAACACTCTTCACTGTGCTGAAGTCCAGCAGGTGGGCATGTGGTCAGTAAAAATTATCATCTTAGGGAGCAGAATAAACACTTTATTAAGCCTACTGATGATATTAAGGTGACAAAGTAGGTAAGAAAGGTTTTTACATGTTTTAGAAATAATTCCCTATCATATGATGACTAGTTAATATTTGTGCCTAAATATTTTAATCATTTTATTAAAACATTAAAAATCCTTTTAGTAAAATATTAGATTCTACATCTGAATCCAAAATCAAGCAAATGTGTCATCATTCTTCAGAAAACATACAACAAATAATGAAGACTGATGATTAATACAAAGAACATAGAAAGACAGTTTCTACCTAAACTGAATTAGTATGTTTAATGTTATTTTTCTAAAATTTTTATGGAATGTTTTCTTCACTTTGGAGATTAATTTAAATATTCCACCTGCTTCGACAGAAAATGTATCCTCTATAATTTCTGCACCTTATCTGTAGGCTAAGTGAGAGTTATTTGGGCCCACACACACTTTTTCACCTACACCCCAAACGTGGCAGTGATCATACCTACCATCTTATTCCCCAGCCCTTTTTGATGTTGTAGACCCAATCTCCCTCGTACCAAGAGGTACCCTCCTGATTGTAATAAATGGAGCCCTAAAACGAATAATATCATGTTTTAAAAATCCAAGCCTCATAACATACTTTTTTAAATGTAAAGATAAAAAATATATAAACTTATAAAACTACACAGAAGACAATGTCACACTTCACATGAGACACAGAAGCTATTAAGTTTCTATTTTACAATCACAAGAATGGCACAGCAAGGGCGAATGAGATATCACAAACCAATTATCCCTCAATAACAAAGTGCCACATTAAGGCAGGAATGAGCACACTCACTGTATTCATCAACTCTTAGTCACAGCCCTGGAGAACCCCATTTTTTTTGGTGCACCTTCCTCATAACTGGAGGTCACTCTTTCACATACCAAAGCCATTTTGTTTTATCCATTTTGACATCTTACCCATTTTGTTGCCTCTGTGTATGAGCAACATGCAGTAAGCTTCCTTTGATGATTCCTGCAAGGCAATGGTTCATGCCACTCTGCAGTGTGTTTGGATCTATGCTGAATGGCCTCTAGTTACCTCATGGCTACTTATCCCTGAGTGTGTGTCCAATCATGCACACACATGTACAGATACACACAAGCAATTTTTCTTTTTAGTTGTAGATGGACACAATACCTTTATTTTATTTATTTATATTTAAAATTTTTATTTATTTTTTTAGTCATGACAGTAGAATGCATTTTGATATATAATTCATACACGGAATGTACATACATCAATCATATTGTCTATTCTATTCTGCTGCCCTTCCTATCCTCCCTACTCCTCCCCTCCTCTCCATCCTTTCTCTCTATCCAATCTAATGTGACACACTTTTTTCTTCCTTTTTCTCATTACAACATCATATATGTATTCTGTATAACAATGAGGTTCTCCTTCCATCTTCTGTGCAACTCCCCTTCTCCCTCTTTTTCCCTCCCACATCTCTTCTCCATTTAGTGGTAGTCTTCTTCTCATGCTCTTCCTCCCTATCCCATTTTTAGTCACCCCCCTTATATACTTACAGGGACACAGCCACATCAATGTTTATAGTAGCACAATTCATAATAGCTAGAATGTGAAACCAACCTAGATGCCCTTCAATAGATGAATGGATTTAAAAAATGTGGCATTTATACACAATGGAATATTACTCAGCACTAAAMAATAATAAAATCATGGCATTTGCAGGCAAATGGATGGCATTAGAGCAGATTATGCTAAGTGAAGTTAGCCAATGCCTTAAAAACAAATGCCGAATGTCTTCTATTTTATTTATTTTTATGTGGTGCCGAGGATGGAACCCAGTGCTTCACACATGCTAGGCAAATGTTCAAGCCCTGAGCCAAACTCCAGCTCTTTTGTTTATTTATTTTGGTACTTGGGATTGAACCTAGGGATACTTTGCCACTGAACCACATCCCCAGCCTTCTTTTTTATTTTGAGACTAAATTGCTGAGGGTCTCAATAAGATGCTGAGGTCTAAGTTGCTAAAGTTGGGCTCTGACGTGTGATCCTCCTACCTCAGACTCCTGAGTTGCTAATTATAGACCTGTATACAAAGCCCAGCAATTTTTTTTTTTTAATCTTCATTATCCAGCTACCTTGCTCCTTCTTGAAGCCATCCAGGTGCTTCTGACTAGAAGTCACTATCTCCAAATCTCCAGTCTCAATTGACTTGCTATGAGCTTAAGAAATACCCACAACATCACATAAGAGAAAGACAAGCCTGAACAGAGCAGGAGGGCTGAGGTGGGATTTTGAGAGCCTGTGAGGGAAAGCCAGGTGCCAGGTGTCGTGTGGATGCAGCCATGCAGCCCTGGCTCACCCCCTCCCCCTCCCTACTCTCCTGGTCTGTGTCCCTTAGGGAAGAAGGTTGGACTAGATCCCTAATCCCTCTCAAACTCACTCTGTTTTGCGTTTGGGTTTTTTGTTTATTTGAAGTGCTGGGGATCAAACCCAGGGCCTTGAATATTTGAAGCAAGTATTCTACTGCTGAACTGCATCTCCAGCCCCATTTTCAACTTAAAACCTAGATATTCCTTTGTGCATGGACTTTGCAAGGCCTTTGGGGGAACTTCCAGTAGTTGGCATATGTCTCATGGAAGGACTTCTTCCGTTTTAGTCCATCTGGTTGTTCCACTTAAAAGGAAAACAGTAGACAGACCAGGCCCCTTCTGGAAGCAGGCCAGAAGCTGGACTTTAATTATCAGTGTTGTTCAGATAAAAAGACTCATAGAGCCAGAATTCTCCAAGGTTTCTCAGAGCTGTTCACAGATCTGCTTCTGTGCTCTGCTTTTTCATATAGCACTACTTGAGGGACCGGCACTGATTTCTGTGGAGCTTCTAAATAATGTGCCAGACTCATTACATTTACTTCTATGAGTCTTAAAATAAACCAGGGTATTTGCCTTATCTTAGTAGGCAGTAATAAAGTATAAGAAGGAAAAGGAAGGGGCTGGGGCTGGGGCTGGGGCTCAGCAGTAGAGCGCTCGCCTAGCACATATGAGGCCCTTGGTTCAATCCTCAGCACCACATATAAATAAAAAAATAAAGGTGTTGTGTCCAACTACAACTAAAAAATAAATATTAAAAAAATAAGGAAGGAAGAAAAGAAAAGGAAATAACAAGAGTCTCCCATTGTTTAAAAAACCATGGGTGAATGTTGTACGATCAAGGACTTGGGAATAATACCCTCTCAAATTACATTTTCCAACCTGTTAATGTTCAGATAGTGAGGATTATAATGGCACACTTTTCTTATATATTTTCTAAAACCTACAAGATTTTAAAATTCTAAAAATTGCTGAATTTTATCAACCTATACAAAAGCAAAACAATAATTCCAAAAATAGCAACCGTAGTTAAAAATGAATATGCTCTGCATTGCTGTTGGAGGTATAAAGGGTGCAGCTGTTGTGGAAAACAGTTTGGTGGTTCCTTAAAACATTAAACATAAAGTTACCATATGACCTAGCATCTCCACTTTTGGGTAAATGCCCCCCAGAATTGAATATGAGTACTCAAACCCATCCACATATATTCACAGCTGCATTGTTCATAATAGTCAAGATGAAAATAGCCCAAATGTCCATCAACAGATGAATGGACACATTATGATCAATACTTACAATGGAAGATTACTCAGCCATAATAGAATGAAGTGCTGCCACATGCTAGGACATGGATGAACCTCAAAAACATGCCAAGTGAAAGCAGCCTGACACAAAGGTCACATGTCATATGATTCCATTTATATAAAATGTCCGGCAAATCCATAGTGACAGAAAGCAGATGAGGGACTACAAGGGTACATGGAAAGGCAGCAATGGGGAGCAACTACCTAATGGGCAAGAGATTTTATTTTTGGGTGATGAAAATGTTTGCAACTAGACAGTGGTGATGGTTGCATAGCATTACGAATGGACTTAGTGACACTGAACTGTGACTTTAAAATGATTAATTTTATGTCATGTGAACACCCCCAACACTTCCCACCCACCATGTCTGCACAGCCTGTGCACAGATGGTACCTCCACCCACCTTCCCGTGTCTCTTGCCTTGGCACCAGTGGCCGACGTAGGATACAGGCTGTGTGCTGCACTTGAACATCCCAAATCCGTTCCTCATGCCGTTCACCACTTCCCCTTCATACATGCTGCCATCTGGCCAAGTGTACACGCCATGGTTCATAGGAATGTTCTTCACAAAATCCCCCTAAGGCAAAATGTCTGTTAGGGGGATGAGAAGGCGGCAGTGCAGGGCCCTCTTATCCTGTGGGCTGTTGGAGACCAAACCCCTGATACTGCCCCTGCCCCTCTTCCATGGGAAGCTGGACATGCCCCTAGCTTCCTCTCTTCTCCCTCCTCTGCATTCCCTGTTCTCTCTCACCTGATCCTCCTCTGTAAGGAAGTGCAGGGAGAACAAAGTATAGGAAGGCTGTGTAGACAAATCTTCAGGRGGTGAGCTGGTGATATGGTAAAGAGGCAGCTGCCAGCCCTGACCTTGGGACTTCAGATTCTTTACGCCTGCCTAGAAGTAGGTTCATTCCCTGTTCTCTCCACACGTGACGCAGTGATTGATCACCAGTGGAAACTCCTCCTTCTATCTGTGATCATCACAATGTACTGCAGGCACATCTTTAGAGAATCTACCCTGCGTGGACTGGGATGTCTGCTGGGCACAGTACTATTCACCATGGCTTAGGCCAACAGATTCTCTTCCAGGAATCTGAAATTACTGGATGTTGCCATCAGCGAGGAGAGAACACAGTGCTGCCTGATTGGCCACTAGCCAGATGCTACCGCCTGGTCTCCCTGCCTGAGGAACTCTAGTGAGAGCCCCAACCCCACCCACAAAGACATCTGACTGGGCTGATGCAGGGATCTGTGCCTGGAAGGAGGAGTCCTTAACCCCTGAGAATTTCCAGAGGCAATGAAGCAGAGGGGTCTCCATGCCAAATTGCCATTTGAATCAAAAATCTTGAATGTTGGCCACGAACTAGAGGTGGATGTCGTGTAGGAATGGAGAACCCCAGAAAAGCTGGCCCCAGACCAATAAGGTTGAACCCCTCCTTTGCTCTCCTTGCACCTCTGCAGCCTGCCTCCCACTATTCAGCTCCTGCCTAAATATGACTGTTTCTGTCCTTGATTAGCTCTTATTTGAATAAGTGCATCACATGCCTGTATTTTAAATGTCTTCATTACCATTTATAAACACCACTGTGTTAGTAGCTCTGAAATGGAGATTTTTAGAACAGCAGTTTGAGCACTCACACTTTGTGGGTGGGAGTTGGAACTGGCACACTGTCTTGGAGAACAAATCTGTCCTAGCAGTCAATTTAAAAACACATATTCCCCCACAACCTGGCAAGTTGGGTTAAGTAAAATCCAGATAATGGAATACATGTAGCCAGTAAAAATATACCTAGTTGTCTGGATATTGTTTGCTCACTAAAAAATAAAGTCATAGAAGAGAATGTATAATAAACTCTGTATTTGTAAAAAGTAGGGGGGAATAAATACATATGTGTTCTGTACATGAAAAGAACACATAAAATACCTCTAGAGCTACAAACAGAACCAGTTACAACAATTCCTGGCACCATGCAGTCACTAAGTTACTCTACCCTTTGATTCTGTGTATTGTTTTAAATCTGTGCTAAATTACTTTATGAAAATAATATGTCTAGTTGTGGGGGCATGATCATGAAATTTCATAATTGCACTTTAGAACTGTAATTATCATATGCTTTACCTCATACTTCAATCCGTCAGCCCAAATGTAAGTCCCTTGTCCATGCATGAATCCTTCTGAAAACATACCCTTCAAAACAAAATAACAGCAAACCCTCAGAATGAAACTTGGTTTTAAGCACCTACTACCACAGGCACAGTTACTTAGAGTGGAGCCTTGTCACTCTCTCCCTGTAGGAACATGCCGGCATCACAGCAGCAACAGCAGCAACATGAGAGCCGGAGTCTGAGCCAGCATGGCATGGGGGTCCACCCTGTCCTAAAAGGGATCTAAAGAGGGATCCCCAAATACCCAGTTCTCTAAAATGTACACCAGGCAATCTGAGTGTCCTGTGTAAGTTGCTAGAAAACAGTATAGTTCAAAACAATTCAAAATTTTTGGTTTTATCACCAAAAATTTTAAAATTTTTAAAAAATTATTTTAACTAGGTAGACAATTACAACCATCATCTGAATATCAGACTTTATTACATTCATAAATTTTATGCTCTTGCCCGTTTTCCTTTACTGGGAATCACCAATGTGTGTCCTGAGCCACATATATGTGTACATATACTGTCCCTCAGTATCCATGGGGGTTTGGTTCTTGTGACCTTGCAGCTCTGCCACTGCAGCTTTTATTAAAACTGAGGGTTTTTTTCCTTTCTTCTTCTCCCTCTTTCCCCTCCCTAAGGGAAAATAAGATTATCCTTTTTCCCATCCTAGATCACATTATCTGTCTTTGAGTACACACACTAGAGGAATAAAGTAATTCACACCTTGAGACTGACCTGGACAAGATGATCTAAGACACAGCTACCTCTCAGGGCCAAAAGTAGATTATAATCCCTGACAGGGCACACCTAGAATGGAACCTTTAAATTACCTCTTTAAAAACCCTCAGTTTCCCCTGAGGGGGAGATTCACAACTTCAAGAACAAAAGTCCTCTGTGTTTCTCCTTTACTAGCAGAGAAATAAAACTTTATTTTCCTTTTTTTCCTCAAAACCTTGTCTTCATTATTATATTGGCACTGTGGACAAAAACCAAGCTTTTGGTAACACCAGGACCAAAGTCCTTCATATAAAATTATAGAGTATGTACATGTGATCTAACCACACCCTCTATACATTTTATTTACTTGGTGCTAAGGATTAAACCCAGGGCCTCATGCATACTAAGCTGAGCTCAACCACTGAACTATGTCTCAACCCCCTTCTATATATTTTAAATAATCTCTAGATTACTGGTAATACCTAATGCAATGTAAATGCTAAGTGACCAGCTATTAAACTCTATTACTTAGGAAACAATGACAAGAAAAAATATCTATACTTGCTCAATACAGACACAATTTTTTTCCAGAATACTTTCCATCTGTGGTTGACTAAATATGTGGATGCAGACCCCATGAACATGGCAGGCCAGCTATAGCACTGCTAGTATAGTCTAATGTTGACACATAAGAATAGTCACAAAAAACAACATAGCTGAATGTCTAAGTGCAATCAGAGTAAACAATGATAAAATTACACCCAGACCCTGCTGAAAATCATCTAGTCAGAGGCCAGGTGGGTGAAGGGAGCCTAAACAAAGAGTGTCTGCACAAAACAGAACTCAGACGCTGCTATGTATGAATGGGGGTTACCTGCAGGCTTGTTAAAATGCAGATTGCTGGACACACTTGGGGCTCCCACTCCACTTCTCAGCAGGTCTGAGCGGAGCCCCAGAATGTGCATTTCTAAAACATTCCCAGGTGATGCATGTGCTGCAGTAGGGACCACACTTTGAGAACTAATGCCCTAACCTGGCCAGCAAGAATACATTTCAGAATCAATCCAGGTTAACTCACCACAGACAGGGCTGGCAGGCAGGAGTGCAGCCCAGAAATGTCATACTGCAGTCTATGATCCTGTTTTGTCCTATGGAATCAATTCAATGTGTCACACCAGCCAGCATTTTTACTTTAAAAAACTAAAAAATAATCAGCCCGTATTCACATACTAAGGGTGCTGTTTTCTAGAATGCTGGCTTTCACTATCTTTACACACATACACACACATGTACACTAGGAATTGTGATCTGAAAATGTGACAAAGCCTGATCTCACCCACCTGAAGCCTGGGGCTGAGTCTCTGGGTCTATCCCTTACCTGGAAAGAGCTTAATGGTAACACCGCTCTCAGGCCTCAGGGATTCAATGTTCTAGGAATTGAAAATCTCTATTGATGCATGAAACATGAGCCACCTTGATGTAAACCAAAACAGAGGGGGAAGTCACTGCACTGCTCTCAGTATGTTTATAGGGGTGGCCTAAACCAATCCAAGAGCAAAAATCTAACTAGAAACTCACATTGCTAAAAACTTTTTTTTTTTTTTTTTTTTTTTTAGGGCTAAGTATAGCTCAGTGATAGAACATTTGCCTAGCATGTGAAAGGCCTTGGGTTTACTCTCTAGCCCCACAAGTAATAATAATTATTTTTTTAAAGTTGGGTTGTTGACCTGTAGTCCCAACTATCCAGGAGGCTGCAGCAGGAGGATTATTTGAACCCAGGAGTTTGGGGTCAGCCTGGGCAACATAGTGAGACTCCATCTCAAAAACAAAAACAAACAGAAAACAATTTAAAGAAAATCCAGCAATGATTGCTTTTTGTCAAAATCATTTGGGTCTTGGGAAAACATGGCAAGTTTACAAATCAAGTAGCTGGCAGTGCAGGCCGAGGAAATGGAGAGTGTTGCTTCCCCCCCTCAGTGGAAGGACAGGGAAGGAAGCCAGCTTCCACAGCAGAAGGCAGCCATGCTCTTTGCACACACCTAGTAATAGACTAAGAGCACCTGGGACAGAAAGGGCAGTCAAGGGCAAAGTGGCTCATGCCTACAATCCCAGCAGCTGGAGAGGCTGAGGCAGGAAGATCAAAGTTAAAAGTCAGCTTTAGCAATTTAGCAAGGCCCTAGGCAACTCAGCGAGACCATTTCTAGATGATTAAAAAAATGGGGGGCCAGGGGATGTGGCTGAGTGATTAAGCATCCTTGGGTTCAATCCCTGGTACCAAAAAAATGAAAGGAAAGAAAGAAAGAAAGAAGGAAAGAAGGGCAGTCTTATTCCTCCCAGCAAAGAGGTCTAGTCTAGGATAGCCCCTAGGTGTGAGCTGAAGCAGGGATGGAGCAGGGGTGTGAACTGCTAGATAAACAATGCTGCAAAAGGCCTGCAGAGACAGGTGTGGTGGAGACATCTGTAATCCCAGCGCCTCAGAAGGCTGAAGCAGGAGGATTGTGAGTTCCAAGCCAGCCTTAGTGAGGCCCTAAACAACTCGGCAAGACCCTGTCTCAAAATAAAATACAAAAAAAGGTCTTCAGATGTGACTCAGTGGGTAAGCCATCCTAGGTTCAATCCCTAGTACCAAAAGAAAAAAAAAAAAAAAGTCTGCAGAGAAGAGAAGACCCTGACCAAAATAAGTGAAGCCCTGTGGATGCCAGGAGGCAGACACAGGCCAGAGGGGGCAATCATTTAGTGAAGAGTATTCAGTCACAAAAAGGTGCTCCTGAATAGCTTTTATGACAAAGAAAAATAAACACAAATGTTAAGGGGGAAAAAAATCAAGGTACTAACACTCAAACTTTCTGGCCTCAGCTACAGAAATTTGTTCTCCTATAATAAGCACACGTTTTTTTAAATGTCTGGTAACATTTAAAAAAATTTTTTTATAGTTGTAGATGGACAACATACATTTATTTTATTTGTTCATTTTTTTGTGGTGCTGAGGATAGAACCCATGCTAGGCAAGTGCTCTGCCACTGAGTTACAGCCCCAGCCCCAGCCCCAGCACACATTTCTATTACCATGTGAATGAATATTAGATAAATATCTTCATTGTGATGTTATTGCAAAGGAAAAAAGCAAAAGCTCTCCAAAAGTATCCAACAACTATGTAATTAGTTATGACTAGCAAATTAGAACACTACACAATATCAAAAAACAACAGGAGGATGGGAATTTAGTGCTTAATGGGTACAGTCTCAGTGTCATTTTGGAATGACAAAAAAGATCAAGAGGTGGGTGATAATGATAGTTGCATAACAATATGAATGTACTTAATGCCACTGGGCAGTCCACTTAAAATAATGCTATGTATATTTCACAGTAAAACCATTTATGAAAACCATGCAGCAAGCTGAGCATGGTGGTGCACACCTATAACCCCAGTAACTCAGGAGGTTGAGGCAGGAAGATCACAAGTTCAAAGCCAGCCTTGGCAACTTAGCAAGACCCTGTCTCAAAATAAAAAATAAAAAGGGCTGGGGATGTAGCTCAGTGGTTAAGCAACCTTAGGTTAAATCCCCAGGACCAAAAGAAAGAAAAAGAAAACCATGCAGAAATAGATTCACAAATGAAAAAGAAAATTCAAAATGTTACCAATGAAAGTAATATGCCACATAAAAATAATGATATATCCATTAATAGAAACATGACAAATGGAAAACATTCATGGCAAAATGATGGAAATACTGAGATTTTATTCTTCATCACAATTGGCCTCTATGTCCATGGCTTCTAAGTCTGTAAATGGAACTGACCTCAGATGGATATCTACTATGCTGACATCTACTATGTAGCCAGGCCTACTGTGGTTGCACCTGTACTAAAGACACATCTTTTTTCTTGTCACTCTTCCCTAAATGATACAGTATAACATCCATTTACCTAACATTTATGTTACATATTGTAAGTCATCTAGACATGATTTAAAGTATCTGTGTATGTATGTGTGTGTGTGTGTGTATATATATATATATATATATATATATATATACACAAATACTATTTTATATAAGGGATCTGAGCATTCTAGGATTTGGGTATCTGAGGGGATCTGGAACCAATCCTCCATGATCACCAAGGGACAACTGTTTTTGCTTTAATGATATTCTTAGAACAATAGATAAAAATCAGAGGGAAAAAAAAATCTAAAGTGACCATTTCAGTTACCTTAGGCCACATTTTTACCTTAAAAATGTAGCATAGATTCAGGCTAAAATCAGCATGAAGTATTTCCAATTCCTTTTGAAGAATCAATGGATCTTTGGGAAACCTTGCAAATTAAAACATATGACCTCACACCTTCCTCCTCACCCTGCAAGTTCCAGCAGAGACTCACATGGTAGGTACAACCACCTTGAAAGACTGCAGAGCCTTCTCCTTCGTACAGTCCTCGGACTTTCTCTCCTTCATAGCTACAAAGAAATAAAGCTCAAAGTAATGAGTGATGTGAATAAACCTACATGACAGTGGGTTAAATTGTATAGTTGAAATATACAGTAGAGGTTACCAGGGGCTTGGGGAGGAGTGGGGGACATGGACTTAGTGTTAAATGGATATTTGGGAAGATGAACAAGTTCTGGAAATAGAGCCAGATGATGTAACTGTTCTTAATGAAATTTAAACACCATAACTGTACTTAATGCCATTGAATTATACACTTTATATGGTCAAAACTGTAAATTTTATATTATGTATACTTTACCATAATAAAAATGTTTAAAATTTAAAAAGCAAAAAGACCTATTCTGGACATGGATACAACAGAGTGTGCTGATGAGATAGCTTTGGGAAAGGGAGGTTTTAAGAACAGTGCCCAGATTTTTAGTTCAGAACCAAAAGTATAATGTGTGATTTGTCACACAGTTCACCTGGCATAAATGAGAAGAAAACAAATGAGCCTGTGATGGGTGTGACCAAATTTGATTTCTTCCAAGAATCCAAGGAAATTAAACTTCAGAAAAATTCATGAACATAATTCAATACATCAGCAAACTAAAAAAAAAATCCAAACATTTGATAAATTTTACCAATTATTTCTAAAAATTATTCTAACATAATATGAGAAAGCTACTTAAACATAATAGACCAATGAAAAAATAACAGCATGCATGATTTTTAAGAGATGAGAAACAATTCCAATTCAGGAACATGAACAAGATTCCAGTTTGTTTTGCTTTTTTTTTTAAACTCGGGGGCATTCTACCACTGAGCCATACCCTCAGCCTTAGTGTGTATTTTATTTAGAGATAGGATCTCACTGAGTTGCTTAGCACCTTGCCATTGCTGAGGCTGGCCTCAAACTTGCAATCCTCCTGCCTCTGCCTCTCAAGCCGCTGGGACTACAGGAGTGCTACTATGCCCAGCAAGATGCCAGCTTTTACCACCAATTATTCAATACCCATTTTAGAATTTCTAGTTAATGCAAAAGTTAAGAAATTTAAACAACTGATGTAAATGCTGAAGAAATATAAAATAGAAAATTATGTGATTATTTACCTATAAAATCCAAATGACTTTATGGTAATAAATGAGAGCAGGAGGGGTGTAGCTCAGTGATAGAGCACTTGCCCAGCACACAGAAGGCCCTGGGTTCCATCCCCAAAACAAAACTCAAAAAAAAAAAAAAAAAAAAAAGAAAAAGAAAAAGAAAAAAAAAACATAATTAACAAGAGTGGTAGGAAGAGGAGAATTGGAATAGGGTGGAAGGGGACAATTAACTTTTTATCATATATTGAATTATTTCACTTGTCATAAGATGCATACATAGCTTCAGGAATTAACAACAATAAATTTAAAAAATATATAAAGGATTTGGAAGAGTTCCTAACAGCCCCATATGGTGGTATCAAGGACACCTTCCCTGGCTCCCAGAGCACATATATATCCAGGAGCTCTGGTTGGGAGCCTCCCCCTGCTGTGTCAGGACACTCTATCCTATGGCTCCTGTCTCAAGGTAATTGCAGGCCCCACCTTCCCAAACCAACTCAGTACACACTGCTCTGAGCTTCTCTCAAAATAGCCCACCAGAGAACACAATCCTACACTGCCTACACTGACTATGTTCAATACTTTTTAATATCCCTCTAGAGTGCTCAGCTATAGCTGGGAGTGGGCACACAGTGGAGAGTAAACAGCTGCTGGCATCATGCAGATTGTGAATCTTGACTGAGCACCTACCGGGCCTGAGGCCAGGTATGTAAAGTTCTGGTTACATCTCAGCTCTTGAGGAATTCAACCAGGCAGAGAAGCTGAGGGCGAATAAGCCAATTACAATGACACATACATCATATGTATGCATGTAATGTAAAGTAGTAAGTAAAGTGATACATAACAGAAAATAGTAACTATGATTAAAGGACTTTAAATTTCAAAGGGCTGGGGGTATAGCTCAGTGGCAGAGCACTTGCTTAGCATGCACAAGGCCCTAGGTTTCAATCACAGCACCAATAAACAAAAAAAGTGCTGAAAAGTTTGGCCCTTGAAGAGCAGGTGGGATTTGTTTCTGTTCCCAGAAACAAGGGAAAACACTCCAGCCAGGGCAGTTGGAGAAGCAAAAACAGAACCAAATGGAATCAGTAGGAAATTGAGGTGGACCTCCCTGTTGGGTAGGGAAGGGTGAAGTGGGCCAGGGTCAGACTGTAGAGCTMAGTGGTTTCATTCTGTACTCAATGGAAAAACCTCAAGAGATGGTAAGGAAGAGGAATTTAGAGACTAGCCTCCACATAGCTCATGATTTTCACCTTGTATTCATACCCACATGGAATACCACTGACCTATGTGACCACTAGGCTATTGTAGAGAGCAAGAGGGTGATTTCTGAGACTGGGTCTTGGAATGTGTCATAGAAGATATACCGTAGCTTCTGCCTTTAGATCACTCTCTAGGGAAAACCAGGTGCCATGTCAGGGACTCAGAGGCCCTACAGAGAATGGACCATGTAATCAGGAAATGGGGTCAGGCCTCCTGTCAACAGCCATAGGAGTGAATTCCTTTGAAAGCAGATATGCAGGCTTTCAAGCTTTCACATGACAGCATCCAGGGTCAACACCTCAACTGCAACCTCATGAGACCTCAGCTGTGGGAATCCTGAACCCAGAAACCACATGAAGTAGCTGCAAGCTGCCAAGTTTGGGATATCTGTTACACAGTGGTGGTTAACTAGTACAGGGAGAAATGTAGACAGCCCTGCATTAGGAAGGTAAATCTAAACAGGAGGCCTCAGGAGAGGCACTGGAAGCAGTCTAGGAAATGTCAGATCACTCTGACAAGAAGGAATAAGGTCTATGCCGAGGGAAATGACTAAGGAGAGGAGTGGAGGGAAAAGAAATGTGACAGGCATGGGGAGGACAGTTCTGCTGTGTCAGGCCAGGAAGATTGTGGAAGACTGTGTTGCCATTACAGAAATGGGAACAATAGAGAAAGTTACAACTAAAAGAAAAAGAATGACATTCCCAGCAACCTGCTAAGGTGGGTATTCTCATATTCCCCAGTTGAGGACCTGAGGCTCAGCAAGACTCTAGGATGGATGGGGTCAATGTCACAGAGCCAAGGCTCAAAGCCGGACTCATCTTAAGCCCTGCAGTCTGTACTTCTGGACAGGGGAGTTTGGAGGAAGTTAAAAATTTGAATCTGATGGGGCTGAGGTTGAGGCTCAGCGGTAGAGTGCTTGCCCAGCATGTGCGAGGCCCTGGGTTCAATCCTCAGCACCACATAAAAATAAATAAATAAAGGTATAAAAAATATATAAGAAAAAATTTGAATCTGAAATTCTAGAACAGAACTAAAGAAAGTAGTTTTATACAGTCATCCAGGGAGATTTTAGGTAAAGCTACAATGAGAGAAGAGATTGCCTAGAGAGGACATAAAAGTGATACAAAAGGGAGTCTGGAAAACGCAGCCCCCAGAAACCTCAATGGGGCAAATCCAGCACCACAAAAAAGATCACACAAAGACAGAGCCTAAAGAGTGGTTTTCAGAGGTGGGACAATTATGTGATGATCATAAAAATGTATGAGGATTCACAGGCTTGCAGTGAAGCACGCTTTTGAGAAACACCTGATTCACAGCATTCAATCCTGCCCCGCCCTGTGAAAGTCACCTTTCCACTATGAGTTTAGTCAGAATGGGTTCTTCATACTGAGTGGCATCTTCACTCTGTTGAAGAGCTTTAGACTCTCTTTTGGGTAATGGTTCCTTAAGTGGCAATTCCAGTGCCTGGATGCCACTTGGGGGCGGTTCTTGCCTAAGAGCACTGCCATCTTGCTTGGAAAACTCTGGAAACTCTGAGCCAGAAGAGGGAGAATGGGCTGACTTATCTCCTTTTTTGTCTGCTTTTTTCTTTTCTTTCACCATTGCCTTTGGAAGTCCTAGAGTTTATATATAAATATCCAATGGGTCCTTCAGTTGATAGCTGTCTGTTTTAAAGCCTGATGAGTTTTATCTGAAAAATAAAAATTATGCCTCTAAATACTTGGAAGTCTCACTTATAAAAACTTAGCCTTATAACAGTATCATTATCATTCTCCTAAAACCTGAGAAAATAATTACAAGTATCACCAGGTTTTTTTTAATAAAAAAAAAATACAATCTCAACATCACACTGGTGGTTCCTGAAATTTTTAGCACTGGAACCCCAGCTAACATGCTTTATTTTTCTATTAGTACCGCAATAAGAATAATCCTATATGCAAAAATGACTACCTGGTGGCTGGAGTGTGGCTCAGCAGTAGAGCCTCCCACGTGTAAGGCACTGGGCTCGATTCTCAGAACCACATAAAAGTAAATAAAATAAAAATATTGCATCCATGTGTAACATTTTTAAAAATGACTACCTAGCCCCTAAGATCTTACATGCTGTCAAATCATACGTTAAGAGCCCCTCTCCTAATGTGAGCATTGTGAAGCGTTCAAGAGTTGGGGTATGGGCTGGAGATGTGGCTCAGCGGTAGCGCGCTCGCCTGGCATGCGTGCGGCCCGGGTTCGATCCTCAGCACCACATACCAACAAAGATGTTGTGTCCGCCGAGAACTAAAAAATAAATATTAAAAAAAATTCTCTCACTCTCTCTTTAAAAAAAAAAAAAAAAGAGTTGGGGTAGGCCCTGCATCTCACTTTATCAGCTCTGTGACTTTAAGTAAGTTGCTTAATTTCCTTCTCTTGGATATCAAAAAGAAATAACAATAACTTGTCTCACCACAAAGATTAAATGATGCACAGAAAAATCTCTTACAGGATACAGAGCAGTCGATAAATGAAGTGATTATTTTAAATAGTTACTTTTCCTTTTTTGAACTTGAAATCCCCGGCTACCTACTCCCTATAACAATATCACCTCTTACAGACCAGAGGAGAAAATATATGCCAAGAATATGTCCAAAATTTCAAGGCTGACAAGGGCTGGGTTCCAAAGCCATAGTTTTCATTACCCTCCCAAACTGGCCCCACCAGAAACATCCTAGTGCACTAGTAAGGACACACAGACATGTCCTGGGAGTCAGGCCTCTGCTCATGCATTCTACAATGTGAGGGACTCTATCTGATGGCATCCTCTGGACCCCACTTGGCCAGTTCAATCCCACCTCCAGGCTTCTGCCTTCAAAACCCACATTGCTCTTTCCCGGACCCCAATTATTGCCTCAGCAAAACCATCCTCAGCAGTCCAACCCCAACTGCTCTCATCCGGATCTTTACAGGCCTACTGTCCTTTATCAGTGAAATTCAAACTACAAATTAACTTCATTTCTCAGAGTTTTCTATTAAAGCCCCTCTGTCCTAGGCTTAAGCAGCAGCTTCAGTTGCAATCCCCATTTTCTGAGCCTTGGGCCCAGCGTTGCTCTGCCCTGCCTCAGGTCCCTCGCCCATCAAGCACATGCTAAGATCCTAGGAGGCTGAGGAAACAGCAGGCCAGGTCCTTACACTATCACGGTACGCAGGGGTCCCCAGGTGCTCACTGCTCAGACGCCCATGGCGCGGCACACCCAGAAGTGGCGCAGGGGCAAGCGTCGCGTCTCCGGGGCAACCATGTTGCCACACACTAGGCCCCTCCCCCTTAAAGGGGCCGCCACTGCAAATCCGTTGAGCAGCCCATTCTGGTCCTTAAGGCAGGAGGAAAAAGTGCTGGAGCTGGATGCATTTGGCCTGAGTTTTCCTGGCTTTGGTAAATGCCCTGCACGACTTCTTGGCTTCTCCACAGGTTTCTTCACTACAGGCATCAGTTTTCCATTGCTGCCTTTTTAAACAAATCACCACAAACACAGTGGCTTAAAACAATAAGTTTATTATCTTACAGTTCTATAAGTTAGTCCTCGAGGGCTGGTCTTTCTGGAGGTTCCAGGGAAGAATTCATTTTCTTGTCTTTTTTTCAGCTTTTAGTGATGCCTTAGCTAGCGTAGCCTTCTTCCATCTTCAAAATCAGCAACACTGCATCTCCCTGACCAGCTGGAGCTGGGAGGGTGGTCTCTACTCTGGTCTCCTGTGAGAGACTGGGCCCCCTAGACAGTACAGGCTAATCTAACTTAAAAACTCTGCAGAGTTCCTTTTGCCATGCAAGATGACATCCCACACTCTGAGGATTAGGACCCAGTCATCTCGGTGGGGCATCATAATGCCTAAAGCAATTCCCAATTTGTAGAGTTCTTGTGGATATTAAATGAGATCATGCAGAAACACAACCAGTATACAGCTTGGCACAGTGAATGAAATGACTACTGTCTGGTTACATCTGAGGAATGCTAGACTTTGGAGGTCTGCTCTCCTAAGAAGCCACTCTCTGGGGAAAGGGGTGGCAGTGCGTTGCTCATACTTGTCATCACTGTACCCCTACCACCATTTGGAATCCATAGTAAAAGTAAAAAAAAAAAAAAAAAAGGCATTTTTACTTCCATTTTGGCAACAGTTCAAATGGGGAGAGCCCATGAAGGAAACACCTGCAGTTCACATCCCAAGGAAACCAAATCACAGTATGAAGGTACAGAAATATCAAAATCTTTTCTTTCCCTCTGCCTAGAACAGCAGTTTCCAAACGCTTGCTGCACTGGGAGCACTTAAAAATAGCAACACCATCTTCATCCAGTCATGTGTTTTAGCCAAGCAGAGAATTCTCTTTGCATTTTTGTGATTAGTTCTTTTTTAAATTTAATATGCATTAGGGTTGAGAATAACTAACCCAAAAGAACCATAATCTTAAGCTAATGAATTTCAACCAAAATGAATTTAATGAACACTGAGGGTGGAAAGCTGCAGACTAAAACACCTCCAGCCGAACTGAGGCCTAGGTAACTTCCAAAGTATTCTTATTTTTGTAAAATAAGTTCTTGCCTGTATACACATATACATTCAAATGCAGAACAAAAAAAAATTTGCAAGCAATGCTCCACATGGTTTGAAAGATTCTCAAGTCTTTTTTTTTTTTTTTTTTTTAGACAGGGTCTCAATTTGTTTTCTAGGTTGGGTTGGAACTCCTAGGCTCAAGCAATCTCCTGCCTCAGCTTCCTGAGTAGTTGGGACAACAGGAGCACATCACCAACACCTGGCTTAAGATCATTTTTAAGTGGATCTGGTACATTTTTTTTTAAAGTAGCAGGTTAATTCTGAAACAAAAAAGTGTTACTTAAGACCCTGTCTTTCAAAACACAAAAATCTACAATAAAATCTACAAAGAAAATGACAAGTGTCAGTTCTGAGAAATGACATCCAGATTGGCAATGTGCCTCATGGTTGGCCTTCCATGGGGACAGTTCCAGGGGTGGTCCATCTCACCCATGTGGGTAATGAGCTTCTTCATCTCGCTTGTGTTAAGAGCGGTGCCAATCATCACCTGAGTACAAGACACAATGGTTTAGAGTTTTACTGGTCTCTGTTACAATACTCTTCAGAAGCACTCTTCTCTACAATAAACTTCCCCCAAAGATGCCCCCTTCTGCTATCTCAGCCCTCTGCCTTTTGGTGGGTCTAGGGAAGTTCCAGCATGGCAGCACCACCTCTCCTTGAGACACCAACCCAACCCATCCAGAATCCAACCACTCTCAGCAGCTCCATTCTGTCTGCTCCAGCCACCCTCACCTTTCACCAGGGCAACTGCAGTGGCCCTACTGTGGCACCACAGGGGACCTTCTAGGCTGGAGGCAGACAAACAATAAACAAGTTAACAGAGAAGCAGGATGAGTATCACACATGGGGCTGTGCAGATGGGAGGGAGCCAGGCCACATGAAGAGCTGAGGGGCAGACCCAAGCAGAAGGAAGAGTAGAAGAAGGGATGGAGCGGAGCAGGTGGAGTGGCTGTGGAGCTAGAGAGGGCCAGCACAGCTGAAGCACAGAAGGGGCTGGAAGGATGAGCAGGGCATAGCACAGGCCTCCTGGGCAGGCAGTGAAAGAAGAGAGCCCAAGGGGGTAGGCACAAGGGGCAGAGGAAGAAGAGATGCATCAGGATGCAAACCCCAGGGCAAAAATAAAGTTCATGTTCTGTGGTTCTAGGGTCTTCAGCCGTGAAGACAGAGAGGTAAAGTGCCTGTCCTGCTCAGTCACTCACTCAGACTCCAGGGTTGGAAGGTCAGTGTTAGATCTTCATCAAACAAACACCTGTCAGATTCTGAGTCCTCTTCTAATTAAACTCTTCCCTGGAGTAATTTCATCCAGTCTCACAGCTATGAATTCTACCMGTCTGATCAGCAGCTCTGACACTTCCCTGGAGCCCAAGACTCACCAATGCACTGTTTTCAGACACCTGGCTTACAGTCACATGGGACCTCACACACAGCATATGCTGTCTACAGCTGTGCTCTTCACCCTGCCAGCTCCCTAGATGCTCTAGCCCTTCCCAAGCACTCCACCCCCATCCAATGTTCCACCCACTCCCCCGAAATTCCACCTCCTTGACTCCAGACCCAGCACGCCTCACAGCTTTGCTTCCACATGTCCCTCTGAAAGCACATGGACCAGCTTCTGGACCTATTCAAACATCCTAAACCTTTGGATTTGCTATTTCTTCTAACCAGAAAGTTCTTACCCAAGGTAGCAGCTTACACAGCCATTCCCTGACTGCCCGTCTCACCTGTTCATCTCATTCCTCTGGTTGTTCCCTATCCCAACACACTGTGGGAATTTCTTTACAGCACTCACATCTAAGATGTCATGTATTTTTGTTTATTTCTCCCCATGAAACAATCAGCTCCACATGAGCAGGGACCTCACCAGCCTAGTTACCTCTGTGTCCTCACATCTGAAACAAGGTTGGCCACAAAGTGGGCTCAAGGAATATATGCTGAATAAATAAGGAATGTGACAAAGTGACACAGCCATTTACTGGACTTGGACATCATCAGGTTAATCCCTAGCCATTGTTACTATTTCCACTACAGATCTAGGCAACAGCAGGGACACAACAACGGCTACTGTGGAACACCTGTGACTCAATGACTCCCAGGAGCATAGATGGCATGGTTTTGGCCTGGCAGCAGCAAACCTTTCTCAACCAAAGTTGCTGTTGCTATTACCCACAAGGACCATGGACAGGCAAGGTGCATGCAGAGCTGACCATGCTAGGGCCAACAAAAGTCCCAAGGTAGAATACTGCTTAACTATGTGGAAAAAGGGCAATAGGCGTGAATTAGAGGTCAAAGATAACACAGACCTGCTGGCTGGTATGTTGTACTAATAGAGATGATCTGACTCTTGGCATAACATGTTCTGTGGCAATCATGAAGACATTCAACAACACTGACCCAATCAGGAGCTGAACTGAGAACTTCCTAAGACCACGGGCATGAGCAGACCCACCATGCCCCGCAGTGGAGCTTTCTATACTTACAGACTTCCGACAGGCTCTGGAGGCAAACATCTGCCTGACTCGGGATGGCCGGCACATGACCCCAGGGCTGTCACTCAGCATAAAGATCAGCTCATCTATATCTTGGGGTCCAAAAGTCCAATTTTTACTGGTTGGCAAGGAAATCAACTTAGCCCTTTCGGTGACTGGAGCTAAAAGAATAAAAGTTTGAGAAAAATCCATTATTTGAGAAATATCTATTATTTGAGTACTATTGCAAAGGAACATCTGAAGACACAAAATGCTTCTTGGGAAGCCTTTGCACCTTTTACAAAATAAATAAACTGATTAAATAATGTCAAAGACTGTTCCCAGCTCTTAAAAAAAATACCACAATTTGATAGTCCTGATTACTAACTTACCATCTTCATCAATGACAAAATCAAAGCCATTCTTTCTGAATATTTCCAGATTTTCTATCAGGACAGCTTCATTGACAGCAGTTAAGTTGAGGGACTGAGGTCTGAAAAACAGGAGATTCACACTGTAACCTGTAACTTGACATCAACATTTACCCATAAAGCAGAAATGAAAGTGAAACATTAAGCTGGATGTGGTTGTATGCCTGAAATCCCAGCGGCTCAGGAGGCTGAGGCAGAAGGATCACAAGTTCAAAGCCAGCCTCAGCAATGGTGAGGCACTAAGCAACTCAGTGAGACCCCGTCTCTAAATAAAATACAAAATAGGGCTGGGGATGTGGCTCAGTGGTCAAGTTCAATCCCCAGTACCAAAAAAAAAAGAAAGTGAAACATTAATATTATATACTAACTTTCAAAAAATGATATAACATTATTCAGCTCTGGACCTTTTCACTATTCATCACAAAAACCTCCTGCACTATTTCTTTTAGTTTTCTTTTTCTTATAAAGTTCATATTAAAATTTAATGTGAAAATACAAAAGTAGTTTGCTTTCTCCTCAATCTGCCATCCTATTCCAGGGACCAGGTCTTTTTTCAGATCTTCTCCTTAAGGATAAAACTATGCCAACATTTCCATTTCACAATAAAGATCATTTGAAAACAATGAACATGAACAAGAATTTTGCTATCCTGCTCCCTCCTCTGCCTGCATTTCTTATCCACTCATCTCTCCTACTGGATTCATATTAAGACAACACTGCTGAACACAGGAAATAGTCTGGTGAGCAAATAGAGACTCAGTTTCTGTCTTATATTAGTGAGGAAGACAGACACTAAACAGACAGTCAAATCAATTATAACTACAAACAACAGTGAGATAGGGAAGAAAAGACATCCAGTGCCAAAAGAACATACAGCAAGTGGGCCTTGGCTCTAAGGTCAGGGGAAAAGCTGAGCTATGAGGACAAGAAGGGCAAATCAGGTAAAGGGAGAGAGGTAAGTATGGGATGAGTGTTCCCAGCAGAGAGACCCATCTGTGCAAAGGCACTCCAAAGGACTGTTCATGCTCCCAGCACCATACGTAAAGACACACGTCAGGGCTGGGGTTGTAGCTTAGTGGTACATGCTTGCCTAGCACATGTGAAACACTGTGTTCGAATCCTCAGCATCGCTTAAAAGTAAATAAATAAAACAAAAGTATTGTGTCCATGTACAACAAAAAATATTAAAAAAAAAAAAGACACATTTCATTCTTCTCAATGAATTCCATGGCTGAATTAATCAGGATGGCCAGGATAAAGCCAGAGTAGCTCAAGAGAATAAGAAGGGAAAATAGAAAATGCTAAAGAGGTCATCAAGGGCAAACTGTGCAGGGTCTCATAGGCTAGGAAGGAATTTTGGTCTTTATCCTTTAATCTTGAAGTGTGATCCATGTGGAACCCAAAGTGGCCTGTGATTATCTAGTTTAACTTGTGATGTTGCACATTTATGCAAAATGTCAAAAGATCCCATGAAACAAGCAGAAATATGTACACATTATAAAGCAGCTCACCAAACATCTTCACTATTACCACTTACTCCTGCGGAAAATGAAAAGGATTAATGCATTCCATGGGAAATGGAGCATTCAGTAAGCTGGACACACTTTCCCAGCTGAGGACTATTTGGGGGGATGTTTCTCTATGCCCCATCTACCCCTTGTAGTCTGAGTTTATTTATCTACATAGTTTTATTTCCCAAATGAAATTAGTGACCTCTCGTAACCCCGCTTAAGACAAACCTGCTGGTTTACATGACAACCATCACAGCCCCTTGAATGGTGGTCACTGAAAACATTCAAACTTGACACACGGGAGAGAAGTGCTGACTTCTTCAGCAATAAGCCACTGCAACTTCTCTACTACACAGGTAGACTGAGTTGCACACTCTGCTGCCTTTCTGAACACACAACCCTTATGCACGTAACAATGAATACTGTGAACTATCAGTTGCCCTTCACCAAAATAATTTTTTGGCCAACCAGTGAGCCACATTTTTGAAAAGCTAAAAAAATTTTTTCCTTCTTTTTTTAAAGAGAGAGAGAGAGAGAGAGAGGTGGTAGCGCGCTCATCTGGCATGCGTGCGGCCTGGGTTCGATCCTCAGCACCACATACCAATAAAGATGTTGTGTCCGCCGAGAACTAAGAAATAAATATTAAAAAAAAAAAAATTCTCTCTCTCTCTCTCTCTCTCCTCTCTCTTTAAAAAAAAAAAAAAAAAAAAAAAAAGAAAGAAATGACAGCCAGGACTAGTACTACATAAAAAGTGTAAAACAGCTGCATGGATGTCCATGGCAAAATCTAACATGCACATAAGCAGACACTTATAAGTTCTTCAATCTTAAATGAGCAGTGAAAATTTTGGACTCTATGCGAACTTACGCAATGAGCCTCTGAGCCTGGAAAACAGTGTGCTGCTGCAGCATCTCGAAGTTGTACTTCTCGTCAGCGGCATGCTGGTCCACGAGGAAGATGTCCTCCTTCAGTTTGGTTATTATAAATCCCAAGTTAAACTGACCAAGGACCTCCATCTCTGCAAACATTGTTTTACTGCATTAAGAAAACATTCATTATAAGAAATCTTAAAGATTATTTTTATGAATACAATCCCACTTTCTACAGATAACACTGATTATTCATTCATCCAACTTCCCAGAGATGACATTATTCACTGCCTTTCCTAATTTGATATATAGACCTTTGCCTATACACAAATTTGTTATTAAAAAAATAAAAATTAAACTTTATTCTTCACACCACTCTACTTCCATCACTTAACACATTGTAGAATTCTTCTCAGATCCACACACATATACCTACTTCATTCTTTTTTTTAAGAGAGAGAGAGAGAGAGAAGAGAGAGAGAGAATTTTAATATTTATTTTTTAGTTATCGGCAGACACAACATCTTTGCTTGTATGTGGTGCTAAGGATCGAACCCAGGCCGCACCCATGCCAGGCGAGCGCACTACCGCTTGAGCCACATCCCCAGCCCCTACTTCATTCTTTTGACTGGCCACATAGGAACTCACTGTGTAGATGCAGCATACTTTGACAAATTCTCTACTGAAAGACATTCAGTTGGCCAACCAGTAAGCAACATTTTTGAATAGCTAAAAAATTCTAATAATGCACACAAAGCTGCAACAAGACCTGCTCACTCATAGGAGTGTTTCTGTGAGATTAGTCCCTACAACTATGTATGTACACTTTTTTCTTTTCATAGCAAGTCTGTAAAAGTTTGCGCTCCTAGGGCTGAGGCTAGAGCTCAGTGGTAGAGTGCTCGTCTTGCATGTGTGAGGCCCTGGACTCGATCCTCAGCACCACATAAATAAATGTATTGTGTCTACCTTCAACTAAAAAAAACATTAAGAAAAAAAAGTTTGCGCTCCCACAAATAGTAAGTATAACTTTCTGCAAATCCTGGGTATTAATCCTTTTATTATCTGCCAGGTTTAACTACTAAGTCCCTTGGTAGGTGACTTCAAAATCTAACTCAACACTGTGTAGGTCAATGCAGACTAGAGACAGACCTCAACCTTCACATAAGAGATAGATATAGTAACCCTGAAACCCACACAATTAAATTTTAGGAACATTTATTTTCCTCAACATCAGCCCCAACTACTACAAAAAGCAAGATTGTTAGAGCTTATCACATGCACATCAGATAAAGCACAAATCTCTAGGATATATGAAGAACTCATAAATACAAATAAGCCAATCAATAAATGGGCCAAGGAAATAAACAGAGACTTCTCAGAAGATGATATACAATGAATCAACAAACATTTCTGCAATTACAGAAATGCAAATCAAAACTACTCTTAAGATTTCATCTCACTCCAGTCAGAATGGCAGCTATTAAGAATACAAACAATCGGGRGGGGCTGGGGTTGTGGCTCAGCAGTAGAGCACATGCAAAGCCCTGGGTTCAATCCTCAGCACCACATAAAATTAATTAAATAAATAAATAGATAGATAAAATAAGGGTATTAAAAAAAAAAAGAAGAATACAAACAAGGGGGGCTGGGTTTGAGGCTCAGTGGTAGAGCACTCGCCTAGCATGCATGAGGCACTGGGTTTGATCCTCAGCACCACATAAATGTAAAAATAAAGATACTGTGTCCATCTAAAACTAAAAAATAAATATATATATAAAAAAGAATATAAACAACAAGTGTTGGCAAGGATGTGGGGAAAAAGGCACACTCATACATTGCTGGTGGGAATGGCAAATTGGTACAGCCAATGTGGAAAGCAGTATGGAGTATCCTTGGAAAACTAGGAATGGAACCACCTTTTGACCCAGCTATCCCATCCAGTCTATACCCAAAGGACTTAAAAACAGCATACTACAGGGACAAAGCCATATCAATGTTTATTGCAACATAATTCACAATAGCTAAACTGTGGAACCAACCTAGATGCCCTTCAGTACATGAATGGATAAAGAAAATGTGGTATATATACACAATGGAATATTATTCAGCATTAAAAGAGAATAAAATCATGGCATTTGCAGGTTAATGGATGTAATTGGAAAATATAATGCTAAGTGAAATAAGCCAATCCAAAAAACCAAATGCCAAATGTTTTCTCTGATTTCAGGATGCTGATTCACAATGTGGTGAGGTGGGGTATGGGAGGATTAGGGAGATTAGGATTAGGCAAAGGAGAAGGGAGGGGGCATGGAGGTAGGAAAGACGGTGGAATGAGATGGACATCATTACCCTAAATACATGTACAAAGACACGAATTGTGGAACTCTACTTTGAGTACAACCAGAGATGAAAAATCGTGCTCTATATGTGTAATATGAATTGTAATGAATTCTGCTGTCATATATAACAAATTAAAATTTAAAAAAGAAAAAAAAAACACCTCAGTGGCATCACTGCCACTGAGAATCAGTTTTCAGTTTCAAGCTGATTAGAACAAAACATACCCAATAAACTCACAAAGAGAAAATTAAAAAAAAAAAAAAAAAGATTGTTAGAGCTGCTATGGAACTCTCTGCCTCTCAGACAGTGGCCTGAGCAGACAACAAAAGAAGCTGAGACTGCCATTTCTTTTTGTAAGTGCTCCAGGGCACTGACACCAATACTTGTTCAGCAGCAGCAGCCACTGGGACTTCTGAGACACTGGCTTCATTACAATGAAGTGACAAAGTTGGCACCTCATCACAATCAACCATAGATGACAGATAGTGTGACTGTGATTCCCTCTGCATGCCAGGGATTATAAACCTCCTACTTTCTACGGCAAAAAGTTCAGCACTGACTTCAACCCAAGTCACAACCAAACCAGTCCCTAAAGCCTATCTTTGAGGGTCTGTCTCCTGGCACCATTCCTGGACCATTTCCATATCAGTCAGAGTCCAGTCAAGGGACAAAACACGCCCATGATTTACAAAGGAGAATTTATAATAAAATTATTTACAGTAAAATGCAGCCAACTACTAAACTAAGAAATAAAGAGCAGCAAACACAAGGAGTAGCTGCTACCTATAGGGAGGGCGAGTGCCCAAAAGGGGAACTCCTAGAGAAGGTGCCACCATGGAGACTGAGCTCCAGCAGGAGTGGCTGTTAGCCCTGAATGGAAAGAAATGGCCAGAGTGAACCATGCAGGGGCTCCTGATTGCCGCTGGCAGCTGCGCTGTGAAAGAGAACAGGCATAAGCAAGAAAGGAAGGAAGTGCTTTGTCGTTCGTTCCCCCCCCCCCCCAGCAAGCTCTCTTGATGAAGTCTAGCAATGTGCCACGAGAAGTGCCTACCCATGTGGTCTAGCCTCCAGGAGTAAAGCAACATGAAGACTTGAAAGCATGGAGCCAACACTCAATACGCTGGTAACAGCAGATTCCTCCTCTCCTAGAACTGTCTGCATGTGTTCCAGCTCCCTAGGAGAATGATCTTTGGGAAGAACCTGCGTGGGCCTCAAGACTCTTTGGTAGGTTTCTCTCCTTCTACAGAAAACAGTATCTGGTTTAAACAACTGTAGAAGATGGCTTGATATGTTTGGTTGTAACTCAAAATACAGAATGTGGTAGTTGGTGGAGGCAGTGCATACCTATAATCCCAGTGACCAGGAAGCTGAGGAAAGAGGATCACAAGTTCAAGGCCAACCTGAGCAACTTAGTGAGTCCCTATTTTAGAATAAAAAACAAAAAGATGCTGATAATCCCAGTGGCTCAGGAGACTGAGGATGGAGGATCACAAGCTCAGGTCCAACCTCAGCAACCTGGCAAGATCCTGTCTTAAAAATAAAATATAAGGGCTGGGGTTGTGGCTCAGTGGTAGAGCATTTGCCTAGCATGTGTGAGGCACTGGGTTTGAATCTCAGCACCACATATAAATACATGAATAAAATAGAGGCCCATCAACAACTAAAGACATATTTTAAAAAATAAATAAAATAGAATATAAAAAGGGGTGGGGACAAAACTCATGGTAGACTGCCTTTTCCCCAGTGAGTAGGATTTAGGTGGTGAGCATTACCTCCACGTCATCTATTACTACCTACTCTTTTAACTAGAAATGCGTCTCTGAGAAAAAAGTAAACCATACCACACCTTGTCAGAACAAGAACTCTGAACCAGGAGTTGTGGCCGGTGCAGCAACTGTGTGCTAGCAGCCAAGAGCCAAGGCAAGGCATGCTATGGGTTGGAGATTTGTGAGGCAACCATCTATGGTTCTTGCAAAACTGCCAACTCCCGGGTTGTAATGATCCACTGAGAAATAAGGGTCTTGATGAGCTGGCTAGCCTGGACTTGAATTTACAATCCTCCTGCTCTGCTTGGCATCGGCCACCATGCCTAGCAATCTTAATCTGTTTTTCAAAGAAAGCACTTCCTGAACACTTAATATAATTTATCTCAATATAAACTAGGTTTATGAATATCAAAGAAAGTATACATTATTCTTTGTTGAAGCATATTGAATATGAATTGGGTAAACTCTGTGATCCAAAGTGCCATAGGAGGCCACTACAATTAGAGTTGTAGAGTGTGTAGCATGTCTCAGTAATTGGTGAGACAAAACATACCAGAAGTTTTTTTTTTTTTTCTTTTAAAAACAAACTATTAAAAAAGCCACAATGGGGCTGGGAAAGTTCCTCAGTGGTACAGCACTTGCCTAGCATGCCTAAGGGCCTGGGTTTGACCCCCCAGCACTGGGAGGAGGAGGAAGCACCAGCGGGTAGATCATGATTACTGTGAAGAAAGTGGTAGGTAGCTACCAGTGTTTCCCATTATTTGCCCTGTTATTTTTTCTTAAATTGACTCTCACTTATCCTTTACAACCACCAGATTGACAATGAGCTAGTGGTAATTTTTCCAAATATACATTAAAAAATGGGAAATGGTGATAATCTACCAAATCTGCCATAAATTTAAAATCAGAAGTCGCTATGGGGGGCTGGGGATGTGGCTCAAGCAGTAGCGCGCTCGCCAGGCATGCCTGCTGCCCGGGTTTGATCCTCAGCACCATATACAAACAAAGATGTTGTGTCTGCCAAAAACTAAGAAATAAATATTAAAAAAATTCTCTCTAAAAAAAAAAAAAAAAAAAAAGAAGTCACTATGGGTTGGAAATTGTCAGGAAGAAGGATAAAACTGGGGTCAAGAAGACTTTGCTTAGGGGCTGGGGATGTGGCTCAAGCGGTAGCGCGCTCGCCTGGCATGCGTGCGGCCCGGGTTCGATCCTCAGCACCACATACCAACAAAGATGTTGTGTCCGCCGAGAACTAAAAAATAAATATTAAAAAAAAAAAAAAGAAGACTTTGCTTAATTTGGACTGATCTGAAAAGAATACTGGTATGGTTCAGATATAATGTGTCCCCCAAAAGCTCTATGTTGGACAATGCAAGAAAATTAAGAGGGGCTGGGGCTGTAGCTTAGTGGTAGAGTGCTCGCCTAGCACATGTGAGGCACTGGGTTCGATCCTCAGCACCACATAAAATAAATAAATAAAATAAAGGTGTTGTGTCCATCTACAACTAAAAAAAAAAAAAGAAAAAGAAAAAGAAAATTAAGAGATAAAATGACTGAGTTATGGGGCTGGGGATGTGGCTCAAGCGGTAGAGTGCTCGCCTGGCATGCATGCGGCCTGGGTTCGATCCTCAGCACCACATACAAACAAAGATGTTGTGTCTGCCGAAAACTAAAAAATAAATATTAAAAAATTCTCTCTCTTTAAAAAAAAAATGACTGAGTTATGAGCCTTAACCTAATCAGTACTTTGATCTACTGATAAGGATTAACAGGGTGGTAACTGCAAGAAGGTAGGGTATGATCAGAAGAGATGGGGCACTGGGGGTATGCCTTTGGGGTTTACATTTTGTCTGTGAGGAGAGTGTTCTGCCTCACTTTGGGCACAGAGAAGTGGAGCTGGCCAACTATGAGCTAAGCTCTGAAACTGTGAGCCCCAAATAAACTCTTCCTCCTCTATTCTTAACAGGTCCTCTGGTCACAGCAGAAAAACAGCTGATCATTATAAAGTGCTGAGAAAATCTAAGGAAAAACAAGTTAGAAATTTTCTAGCAGAAGAGTGTGGGAATGAGTTCTTTAAAGAAAATTAATATGACAGGTGTATGAGGCAGAAGAAGGCGGTGGATGGAAAGACCACTGCCARGAGTACTCGGCAAAGCCAAAATTCAATCTGTGGCGTCAAAATCAGCCCTGACCTTATAATCTGAGAGTGAGAAGCAAAGAGGGCAAGCCCACGAGGGACAGAAGTCTGTGGTGCAGGGAAGCCCTCAGACAGGGCTATCCTGCTGGGCAACACAGGTCAGAGGACACATTCTGGTGCCACCCTACCCAAGCCAGACAGAAAAGTGAAAGCCAAAGACAGCCAGAGATTCCAATGCGGAGTCTGAGGACCAACTTCTGGTTCACTCAAAGCCACCAGCCATAAGCCTGACCAAAACACCATTAAGAGCAAACTTTACCTGATCTCTTTTCTCAGCTCATCTTCTGCTGCTTGATTTTCTCCAGGGCAAATCTTTGCCCTAAATTTCCTATAATTCTGCCCACTTTGACTTTGCTGYTCTTGGTGATTTAACTGCTTTACTCGTTTAGCTAAAGACTTCATGGAAAAGTCAAGGGGCACTATTTTCTTACTAATTTTAACAGCTACATCAACCTGAGCCACTGATAAGTTCTGAGTAGTAACCAAATTTTGAGGAGTGTCAGCATTTGAAGAAATTTCTTCTTTTTTAAAACGCTTGGTGTTCGAATATGTAATATCAGTTGTTGGAGGCAAACCTCTTAATTTATATCCAGTATCTTCTTGGTTTAAACAGCTTTCCACATCTGAAAGGTGATATTCCATTTCAGGTAGTTTCTCACAAGAGCCCACATCCTCCTGTGAAGATCTGTCTTCTGGGGAGCTCACCGCATGGTCACTGCTACAGTGACTGCTGGCTTCTGGGGTGCTGAGCCCTCCCTCTGAGCCAGCTGAAGTGCTACTGCATCCTGAGTCTTTCTCCATTTCCACTCTGTCCACACAGTCCTTCCTGGGACTCACCACCTCTCCCTGAGGGTCCTGAAAGCCTCTGCCAGAGACAGGATCTGAGGCACTAGAAGATGGTACACCCCTTTTTTGTCTTGGAGAATTCCGCCTGGGTTCAGGAGTCTCTAGGCCCTGAGACTGGGTCCCTGTGGTGTGACGAAGAGAAAAGGCCTCTCTCAGCCTGGAAATGGACACTACCTTTGTTTCTGCTCCTTGAGTCCTTAGAGAAGGGGAACTCGCCTGCTTTTCTGGCAGAGGCGTTTCCATTTCTGCCACATGCATTTTTATTAAGTTACCTAGGCAGATGAGAACAGAGAAAAATATCAGGGACTGTACAAGTGAGACAAGAGGATGTTTTTAGATGAACAGGCATTTCATAAAAAAGGAGAAGCAGCTAATTAAATATGTAAACACTACCCTCAGTTAATTAAAAGGGGCACAAATAAAAATAATATGATGCCGTTCAGCACCAGAATGGGTAAAATTTAAAACCAACCAAATGTTCACAAGAATGAGCCTCATGAGGAAATCTTAAAACACTGCTGGTGGCAGTTAGACTGGTACAGCTGTTCCGTAATACTCTGGGGAGCATCTCCTAAGTGCATGCACCAGTGACCCAGCTCTGCTCCTCCCCCCACAAACAACTACGGATGGTCACCAGAAGACATGTGTGAGAATGCTCATGGCAGCTTTCTCTGAAGCCCCGGACGGCAAACAACCCAAATGCCCACAAAGAAATTGTGGTATGTGAACACAGTGGAATTCTATACAGCCACCAGAATGAATGAACGGATGGCCCATGTGACTTGGCTGAATGTTATACACAAATCATAAAAAATACTCATTAAATGACTGCAAATTAAAAGGAAATTAAACTAATGCTGTTGCAAGTCAGAAAAGAATTTACTACTGGTGGTTAGTGTAGGAAAAGGGGCACAAGAGTGGTTTGTGGGAGCTCTTTCTCGATCTCAGGGCTATGACATTTAAGCCAGTTTCTGTGTCACTGTTCCACTTCAACAGAATAGCTAAAAAACAGGCACTGAGGTCTCTATGCCTCCCGATACAGTGGTTCTAAATGGTCTATTATGAGGTGGCCTCTCCAGCTAGGTCTGGAAAGAGCTCAGTCACCAGTTAGCTCTTCCATCAGAGGCATGTGCTGCCAACAACCCTCCTCAGTGTTTCACAAGCAGAGTCATGTCCCCACTCTCCCATGCAAACAATAGTCAGGAAAATCCTGAGCCTTCCAGATATAAGTCAGCCGCCCCGCCACACCAATACTGGCATTCAGTGTTCTTCTCCCACCACCCAGTGGCTCACCAGACCATCAGGAGCCTCGGGCCCCCTACCATATTCTCAGATTCTCCCAATTGTCCTCCGTGGCACTCTACAAAAACCCACTCCACCATTTTCCAAATCAACCTCTTTCTGCCTTCAGGGGAAATGTTAGGACAGAGAGCAGTCTCTCTGTTCCTACTCTGCATCCTGCTCCCCTTAAACCTGGGGACCTACAAGGCCGCTTGCATGTCTAGGAAAGACCCGAGAATGCCATAGTTTTGCTGTTCCCAGCATCTCCCTTTAGAGCTTCTTCCAGTCTCAGACTCATCGCAGAGCATTTTTCTCCCACTGGCAGCATGAAATGAGCACCTGTCACCTTGTAGCTTCCTACTAAGACTAGTTCCAGTCTTGCAGTAATTCTCTGGCCTTTTCCCCCACCAAGGACACAATTATGGTCTTCCACTTCTATCCCTTCACATCCAGACATAGGGATCAGGGGAAAACTGGCTTATGAACTTTTAACCAAGATAGAGTAGGTCTGGCCACCAGGCAGGCAAGGTCAACTCCTCCCTCTGCCAAGGAAGGAAGCTGGGGTTCAACTTTGGCACCTCCCACAGGTCATCCAGTGTCTATGGTTTGACWGAATAAAAATGAAACATTTTACACTGACAAATGGATGACAACATATGACCAAGTAGTAAAATAATGATTGAGCACATCATGAAAAGATCAGATCACCTTTGTGACAACTCTCACTTCAATGTGACACTCAGTGAAGACTACATGGGATGACCTCAGGGAAAATGGCAGAGTGAGGACCTCCAAAGAGACCCTCCTCCTTAAAAGGAATAAGAAAACTGGCAAAAAAAAAAAAAAAAAAAAGGTCAGAATCAACTTTTTCAGAACTCAGGGAATTAATGTAAGACTTACAACAACTGGAGAGTATTTATTCAAGAAAAATGGTCAGATCTCCATAAGAACAGTAAGCTCTAAGGCCACTGAACTGGGTCTAGCCCCAGTCCCTCCTTCCCAGTCTTAAAATATCCTTGAAAACAAATAGTGCTCACAGTACAACTACAGAGGCCTAGCAGCCACCAGACAAAACAAGATGGTCTGTCAAAATTTCACGTCCTAGAGACATACGATTACTTGACCTGTCTGGTAGTTTCACAAAAAAGGGCCTTCCTTGAGAGTCATGGTCAAACCCTATTCAAGATAATTGCTTAAAATCATAGTGTGAGACTGGTTAAAAGTTGGGAAAATAACAGAGTAACCAAAAAAGTTTAAAAGGAAAAGCCTGGGAATGAGATGTCCACAGGGGCTTTGAAAAGTTCCAATATAAACTTGTGAATCTAGAAGACCACTTGGTGTGCCTAGAAAGACCTGGGAAGACCCTAATCTCCAACCTCTGGTTGACCCTGATGCTCAGTGCAAGCAGGAAGTGAAGGCCAAGGCAGAGCTGTCAACTGCCTGGCTGAGTATCAAAGGTGTGCCCCAATAAGCACATGGGACCTCGGTGCAAACACTGGAACACTTGGTGGGTTCAGGCATTTAAGGAAAACTGTCTAATAATTAGCTAACCAAAATCAGAGACTTCATAGCTACACATAACCAAAAAACACAGGTTTCACAGAGATTTTTTTTTCCAGTTAAATGAACAAACAAACAACAAAAAGCAACAAAAACAAATGCTAGGGAGGGGAAAAAATCTGATTTTGAGTTACCATATATTCTATTACTTAAAATGTCCACTTTTCTGTGGGAAAAAAAAAAAGAAACCTGCAAAAAAAAAAAGCAAGGAAGTATAACTCATGTAAAGGAAAAAAGATGGTCAATAAAAACTACTCCTGAAGAAGCTTATCTAGGGACTTAACTAGACAAAGATTTTAAATCAGCTATTTTGGGAGGAGGGTATTAAAGATTGAACTCAGGGGCATTCAACCACTGAGCCACATCCCAGCCCTATTTTGTATTTTATTTAGAGACACGGTCTCACTGAGTTGCTTAGTGCCTCACCATTGCTGTAGTTGGCTTTGAACTCAAGAACCTCCTGCCTCAGCCTCCTGAGCCTCTGGGATTATAGGCATGCACCACCACTCCTGGCTTAAATCAGCACCAGTATAAATGGTTCAAAGACCCAAAGGAAACCATAAGTAAAGAATCAAAGAAAGTCAGATACTGTGGCACATGCCAGTAATCCCCGGAACTTGGGTGACTTAGGCAGGAAGATTTCAAGTTCCAGCCCAGCCTGGGCAACTTAGTGATAAAAATAAAAAATGCTGGGGGTATAGCTCAGTGGTAGAGCACCCCAAAGTTCAATCTCCAATCTCTCAATCTCTCTCTCACAACACACACACACACACACACACACACACACACACACACACACACCCCAAACTATAAAAATAATGTACTGCCAAATAAGATTATCATTAGACAGAATTTTTTTTTTTTTTTTTTGTACTGGGGGTTGAACCCACAGGCACTCTACCACTGAGTTATATCCCAGCCCTTTTTGGTTTTTATTTTGAAAAAGGGTCTAAGTTGCTTAGAGTCTCACTACGTTGCTAAGGCTGGCTTTGAACCTGTGAACCTCCTGTCTCAGCCTCCTGACAGAAATTATTATTATTTTTTCAAAGTGGCATATGTCTTTATTGACATTTCCAGATGGGATGTAGAGAGAAGAGAGGAAAGGAAAGCAGAGAAATCTAGAAGGACTATAAAAAAAAAAAAGTCCATGCCTCTGCACAACATAAATGTGCCTCAGAGTCTCCAGTGGACAGGGTGAAAAGTGGGTGGGCCTGATAGAAATTTTTAAAAAGAAGTCTGGAATTGAAAAGCATAACCATTGAAATGAAAAATTCCCCAGAAAAGCTCAATAGAAGATTTCATCAGTCAGAGACATCAGCAATATTGGTGGGTTAACTGAGGTCATCTAGTTAGAACAGAAAGAATAAAGGAAAATGAACTGAGACTCTGAGACCCTCTGGAGGCCATCAAACACACCAATGTACACAAAGTAGGTATCCCAGGAGAGAGAGAAACAAAGAGGCAAAAAGACTATTGGATGAAATGATGGCTCACCAGGATCGGTGGCACATGCCTATAATCTCAACAACTCAGGAGCCTGAGGTGGGAGGAACACAAGTTTAAGGTCAGCCTGGCAATTCAGCAAGACTCTTAGCAACATAGCAAAACCCTGACTCAAAATAAAAAAATTGAGGGGCTGGGGTTGTGGCTCAGTGATAGAGCACTTGCCTTGCATGCATGTGGCACTGGGTTTGATCCTCAGCACTATATACATAAATAAAATAAAGGTATTTAAAAAAACCTGAAAATGGCTGGGGAATGTAGCTCAGTAGTAAAACATCCCTGGGTCCAATCCTTAGTATCCTCTCCACCCCCCCACCCCCCCCCATAAAAAGAAAAAAGAAGCAATATTAAGACTAAAAAAATATAGATAGATATAGATCTGCCTTACAGGAAACCTAAAGGGAGTCTTTCAAGATGAAACAATAGGACAACAGACAGAAACTCAAATCCACATGAGGAAATTAAGAGCACTAATAAAGATAAACTATAAAGGAAGGTAAATATAAGAGAAAGAATAAATGTATTTTTTATTTGTATCCTTTTTCTACTATGTGATTTAAAATATAACCATACAAAACAAAAATGATAAATCTGGTGGTAGGCACCAGTATAAATCTGGATATTATTGAAATTAAATTATGGTTACTCTGAATTCAATTGCTATGCTAATTATAATCTCCAGGGTGAGTGCTAAGAACTTAACTCAAAAATATATAGTAAAAGGAATGTCAAGAGACTTAAGAATCTATAATCAAGGCAGACTTCTGCTCAATGTAAATCTTGTGTCATCTGCTGATGATTAGAAAAACGAGAGTGCTACTATGGATCAAGAAAGACATCAGTAAACACCCATGGGAGGGCTAAAGGTGCTCACCTCTGTCTCTTTGTAACAGTTTACCCTAAGCCTACAGCTACACACTTTCTAGGGTGATATATCCTCTAAAGAGATTTTGTTTCACATAAAAGAAAAGTTACCTGAAGGAAAAAAGCAAGTCTCACAGGCGGGGGTTGTAGCTCAGTGGTAGAGTGCTTGTCTCCCCCATGTGTGAGGCACTGGGTTTGATTCTCAGCACCACATATAAATAAACAAAATAAATAAAGGTCAACTTAAAAAAATAAAATAAAAAGTAAATCTTGGGCTGGGATTGTGGCTCAGGGGTAGAGTGTTCTCCTAGCATGCATGAGGCACTGGGTTTGATTCTCAGCACCACATATAAATAAACAAAATAAATAAAGGTCAACTTAAAAAAATAAAATAAAAAGTAAATCTTGGGCTGGGATTGTGGCTCAGGGGTAGAGTGTTCTCCTAGCATGCATGAGGCACTGGGTTTGATTCTTAACACCACATACAAATAAATAAATAAAAATTAAAAAAAAAAAAAGCAAATCTCACAATAGCTAGAAGCTTTAGAAGCTATTCTATCACTGCATTTTTCTTACCTTCAATATCCAACAGTGGCTGCTGATTGACATTAAGTTTGTTTACATCACTGTCAAACATTCCTATCAAAGAGGTCTTTAAAACTGCTAACAAAAGCTTCTCTTCTTGTAGTAAAATTTGCCTTTTATCTGGAGTTACATTGATATCAACACATTCTAAGACAAAAAAAATACATCAATTATGTTTTAATTTATCTTTAATTATAGTAATTTGTCCATCTACTACTCCATTCACTTATTCTTACCAAAAGTACAACTTACTAGAAACAACATAGAGAGGAAGAGGGAAAAATCAGTTGAGTTCAAGACTCCAATTGCATTGAGCCTGGCAATAGGCAGGAAGAAACACAAGGGGTAGGGCCCTATAGCCCTGTGCCTAGGGAGTCCAGTCCTGCTAATAGTTGCATAAGGATGCCAGTGGAATCAGAAAAACCAATGTGGGCTGCTTGAAGAACAATCTTGGTATTGAGGAGTGTAAGGTCAAATGAGCAAGAAAGAATTGTAGTCTGAGGAAGAGGCTGTAAGACAACACTTACATTCTCAAAGCAAATCAATTCTTGGGACTCAGAAGCAATTAGACACCCAATTAAGAGAGGTTTTCTGCAAACTGCTGACTAGTCATCTAACTCTGTTGGGGTTACTGAGAATGTTTGTCAGTCTTTATTTTTCAAGCAACTTAAAAAATAAAATATATACAATTAATAAAAACAATTATGCAAATAGTTTGAAAAATCAAACAATGCTACAAAGCTTTCAATTGACCCATTCAATCTTTTATTCTGTGACCTGCATCACAGCCTGTGCTGGTTACCTGCTTGCCTCACTATAAGAAACATTTTAAACCTTTTCACTTTTGCTTTAGCTTTTCAACATGTTCTGGCACTTACTTTCACATTTTAAAAATGCATATAATGCTGTCTTAAATATTCATTCATCTTACAGGGTTTTAAAAACTTCCTCTGGTGAATATTACCAGTCTCCTTCCCCTTTGGAACACATGAAAGACTGTACTGCTTAGCCCAGTCTGGCTAAGTTAAACAGGGTCATGTGACTATTTCTGGACAGTAAAATACAAGAGGAAATGAAGAGCATCACTTCTAAGTTAAGACAGTAAAAAATGTAAAGCTCATGCATGCTCCTCTACTCTGTCCTGTCACTCTCTGCCTATGTTCAGATGGTGTAGTTATAAGTTGGTGGAGCCTCTGACTGAAACCCTGAATGACCAGATGGAGAACATCTGATGACCCAAGTGAGAAATGTGTGAGACAAAAATTTCTCTTAGATATGCCATTTGATTTGAAGTTGTTACTACTGAATACTTAGTCCAACCTAATTGGTATATATCTTACTATAAGAAGTCTAGCTACTCATAACCATACTTCTCTTAATTACATTTCAATTTTTGATTAAGCATATCACTGTTTTCAATTTAATGATTATGTAAAGTCTGCTTCTGGTAAACTACATAGTGCTATGATTAAATCTTTTGTGTTTATTTTGCTAGGTTTRGTAATTGTCTCATTTTAACTTTAATTAGTTCTCTTTGATATTCTAAATTATCCTCATCCTTCAACAACCTTCTACAAAATGTTACAATGTTAAAAAGTATTATGGAGGGGCTGGGGTTGTGGCTCAGCAGGAAAGCACTCACTTAGCATGTGTAAGGACCTGGGTTTGATCCTCAGAACCACATAAAAATAAATAAATAAAATAAAGGTATTGTGTCCAACTAGAACTAAAAAATGTTAAAAAAAAAAAAAGTATTATTGGGGCTGGGGTTGTGGCTCAGCAGGAAAGCACTCACTTAGCATGTGTAAGGACCTGGGTTTGATCCTCAGAACCACATAAAAATAAATAAATAAAATAAAGGTATTGTGTCCAACTAGAACTAAAAAATGTTAAAAAAAAAAAAAGTATTATTGGGGCTGGGGTTGTGGCTCAGTAGTACAGAACTTGACTAGCACATGTGAGGCACTGGGTTTTGATCCTCAGCACCACATAAGAGTAAATAAATCAAGGTATTGTGTCCACCTACAACTAAAAGAAAAAGTATTATGGTATCCAGGTTAATATTCATAAATTAGAGCTTTGAATGTAGCCCAGTGATAAAGCACTTGCCCAGTGTACTGTGCAAGGCCCTGAATTCAACACCTAGTATCAAAAATAAATAAGAAATTATAAAATTAGTTTTTTCAAACAAACAAGAAAAACATGAACAATTTTTCAAATAGACAAAATATATAAGGATTTGAATGGGTAAACTGTAAAAGAAAAAGTACAAATAAACACATAAGAATATATAAGACCACAAGCAATGGTGTACCCCTATAATCCCAAAGATTTCAGAGGCTGAGGCAGAAGAATCGCAAGTTCAAGGCCAGCTGGGCAATTTAGCAAAACCCTATCTCAAAATAAAAAATAAAAAGGTCTGGGGGTATGAATAAATGGTAGAACACCCCTGGGGTCAATCTCCTGCACTGCCAAAAAAAAAAAAAAAAGAAGAAAAGAAAATGTAATGTATAAGAGAAAAATTCCCCTACTGAATTTAGTTTAAAAATTATAATACCTAGTATTGTTGGCAGATGTATAAATTGACACAACATGCCTTGAATTCAATACAGCAAAAGCCTTAAAATGATCATATTCACTGACCCAGTAATTCCACTTCAAGAAATGTATCTTATGGAAACAATGATACAATGATTCTAAAATATAGCATTTGAAATTTCTTAAAATTGAACAATTTGAATATATCAAAAAATAAAAAAAAACTGCTGAACACAGTGGCACATGCCTGGAATTCTAGGGACTTGAGAGGCTGAGGCAGGAGGAAAACAAATTCAAGACCAGCCTGGGCAACTTAATGAGAACATGTCTCAAAATATACATAAAAAGGGCTAGGGATGTAGCTCTGTGGTAGAGGGCCTCTGAGGTCAATTCCCAGTACCAAAATAATAACTTAAAAAAAAATTCAAATTCAAAGTATAAACATGCTTTGGAATATAATGTAGCTATTACAATCATGTTTCTTATGACATGGACAAGAACATTTTTCACATTTAAGGAAAAAGAGCAATCAATCATGGTGGCACATGCCTGTAGTCCCAGCTATGTGGGAACAGCTGAGATAGGAAGATCCCAAGTTTGAAGCCAGCTTGGGTAATTAAGTGAGACACTGTCTCAAAATTTTTAAAAAAGAGTTGGGGATGCAATGCAGTGGTATAGGGCTTGCCTAGCACATGGAAGGCCCTGGGTTCAATCCCTAGGGACAGAATGAAGAGTAGGATACAAAATTATTTGCTCACATAAAAGACGAGTGTATGTGCATGGGTGTGTATGTATCTTGAGATAAGCACACATATAATTTTTAAGTGTATAGAAAAACCAGATGGCAATAAACCAGAATTTTTAACAATCAAAGAAAAATACCTAGATGATAAAATTAATTAGTTATTTTCAAAATCAGGGATAACATTTTAGTCTACTTCCTCCCTTTATTGATATTAAAAAGTCAAATTTTCCTAATAACACAATTATGTCTGTGTGTTTCAAGTAGAAAGCAGGAAGGTCTATAAAATTCAAAATTTTATCACCATAAATTGTTCTCTTTCCAGTCAAGTCAGAGCTTTATAAATTTCATTTTCTTCTTTTAGGAATAAGTCTCCCATTTTATTGAAATCTCAGTGAAACGTACCTGAATCAACAGAAATGTTAAGAACAACAAATGGATATTGATGCCGATTATATATATGGTAGACCTCGTTCACAAGTCTGGAAACCTGCATAAAAACAAAAATGAGAAAACAATAATTGCTCCCTTCTCCCACTGTTGTTAACAACATGCTAGTCTAAGTTATCTCCAAAAGAGTACATTTTTGTTAAAGCATTATTAAATGAATAAGGTAATACTGGTATGCAAAAACCTGCACATATTTAAAGTATACAGTTTGATAAGACTCTTCCAAGCAATCCTACTCCTCAACCTCCCAAGTAAGCTGGGACTACAAGAACACACGACTGCCTACCTATTAGATAAGTCTTGACTTGTGTGTGTGTGTGTGTGTGTGTGTGTGTGTGTGTGTGTGTGCGCGCACACGTGCATGCCTATGGAACTATCCCACAATCAAAATCACTCAAAAGTGTTATCATGTCCCTCAAAGAGATATTTTTTAATCACAGACTCCTGAAATTGAATCCTTTTCCAATCTGAAGATGCTCTTCAAGAAATTTTAATAAAACTCAAGTGCAGTTTAAATATTCAAAAGCACTTTCAAATGTTCTGAAGACACCTACATACAGGACATCATGATCAGATTACCTAATGGCATTAGAGATAAACCACGGAAATTGCACTAACTAAAAACAGGCAGAAGCTAGGCGCAGTGGCGCACACCTGTAATCCAGCCTCAGCAATAGCAAGGTGTTGAGCAAGACCCTGACTCTAAATAAATTACAAAATAGGGCTGGGGATGTGGCTCAGTGGCTGAGGGCCCCTGAGTTCAATCCCCAGTACCAAAAAAAAAAAAAAAAGAAAGTGAACCACATGTGGTAGGTACAAGTAAATTTTAAAGTGTCACTGGAAAAATAACTAAGGTACTATGTTGCTGAAGATAGAAAAGTAAAAACTGAACCACTAAAAACCTATGTAACTATATCAAGATGATCAGTTTCAGTGTGAGGCAGAGGAAAATCTGGGCCCTTATTTTCCTGGAAAATGGCAGAAGGAAGAGAAAATATAGATAGAAACATATGCATGTAGTCAATCTTTGCTGAAAAGTCTAGATGACAGAAAATGTTCTGAAACGTTTATTTTCTTCAAAAAGTGATAGCTTTTATGATAACATACAGGTAATTAATATGTGCTTATCTATTTATGCTTGTGTGTATACATATATATATGCACATACACAATTGAAACAACTGCATAGTAGACTTTCTTAAATGCTTAAAATAATTTTAAAGCCAATTTTCTGAGTTGGTCCCAAGTTCCATGTAAATTACCTATATCATGAAATAATAAATAAAAAAACTCAAAGGCATAAAAATCAATTAATACATGGGGCTGAGGTTGTAGCTCAGTGGTAGAGTGCTTGCCTCGTACACGTGAGGCACTGGGTTCAATTTTCAGCACCATATAAAAATAAATACATAAATGAAGGTATTGTGTCCATCTACAACTAAAAAAAAGAATAAATTAATACAAAAATTTTGTAAATACCTTTGCCGGGTCACAGGGCCGCCGATTGATGAAGAAAAATTGTCTGTCAGTTGAGCTCCTGCCAACACCATGTGCACAGCCTGAGATGAAGCCTGAGATACTATCAAGGGTAATATGTAAGGGCAGGTTCCAAAGCTAAGCTAAGTGTTAAAACATTTAGCACAAAGCATGCAGTTAAAATCAAATAACAATGGGACACCTGGTGACCTGCTGATGAGTATTCCTACTTCTATTCCAGTGCATCTCTCCTTTATCCAGAAGAATCACAAAAAGAGCCCAGAAATTCTGAAATGCCCTAAACTGCCACAGACTAAAGTCCATCTCAGGTGATATAGTGGGTGCACTGCTAACCTTCTCAGCTCTCTTTTCACCTTCCCTAGGAAGTCTGGGCCTCCATGTCAGGAGTGGGCCTCACTCCAAACACATTCTCAAGACCTTTGCACTATCCCCACCAGCTTGTCAATGGAGTCTACCCATTTGTATTGAGAATCTCTACCCACATTCCCTCTCCTTTTAAAATCTGTTGTCAGCAAACTTATCTCTACTAAGGTGTTGATGGAGTGCTTATTCTATATGAGGTCCACCAAGGGATATCTGCATTTCCATAAGAAAAATCACTTAACATAAAGAAATCAATTTCCAATTTTTCTTCTTTTTTTTTTTGCACTTTCAGGCATAAGCCAAATGCAAGTGGACGAGGAGTAAGCAATACGGACTTTGCCAGGGCCATTCCTACTTAAGGAAGTGTACATTTTTCACAAACTAAAAATAAGGATGCTTTATAATATAAAAAAGACCATATTCTCAAAAAGTCAAACATTATAGATAAAATAATTTAAATATTATTCCAACTAAAGAGCCTTAACAAAGACTAATTCTACAGGAACCCCTTGAAATGTGCCATTTACCTAGAATACTGTTTGATTTAAGTAATTTTTATATAAATTCCCTTTCTCAGCAGTGAAACTGTCCATGGTTTTAATAAGGGCATAAAAATACTACAAGCTTTAACATCTCTATTTAAAAAGGTTAAAAAAAAAAAAAACACCCTCAGGAAAAAGTGTGTGGTTGTAGTTTTCCTGGCAACAATCTACTTACTAAAACAAATTATGTAGAGCATCGGAACAGCTCAGACCATATTCTTCACAGACAGAGTCACTAGGGGGCAGCTGAATGAAAGGAATGAGGCTTTGCAACTGAAAGAAACCAAGAGTAACGGTTATTTCCTAATAAAGACAGAATGGTCCAAACTTCAGAGAAGATAAAATGTGTTTTCTTTTCCAGTTAAGCTATTCACATTAAGAACACATAAAAATTCAAAGAATCCCGATAACTGTTTTGCAGTGCTACTAAAAACCTGTCTGTTTGGGGCTAGGTTTGTGGCTCAGAGGTAAAGCGCTTGCCTAGCATGCATGTAGCACTGGGTTCAATCCTCAGCACCACATAAAATTAAAAAATAAAAAGTAAAAAATAAAAATACAGATATTGTGTCCACCTATTCTAAAAAATAGTTAAAAAAACATGTTTTAACTACAAAGATGAAACACACTTGAGTTTCTATATTTATAATCACTACACTGACCATATACTCTAAGCTTTTTCAGAGAGAATTAAGGATATAGTATTTCATTTCTGGAATAATAACAAAATTTTTTAGCTCTAAAAAACATTTTTTACAATACATATCTTAAAAACTCAGTTCTTGTACTTATGCTCTATTAGAAAGATGACAACTCTGTCATAATCTCTATAGCAATAAAATGTTCTTAAGTAACTGGCCACCATTACCTGCTTCTGCCCAAACACAGAGCCAATATTTTCCTTTATGCTGGAGCTTCCACTGGTGCCTACCACAGTCTGTCGCTTTCCTTGTCCAACTTGATTGGTGCAACTTATACGGACACCTGCTGAAATGATGCAGTATGCATGTAAGACCTGGACCATTTTGGCATACTCCTGTGTAAAAAAACACAAACACAAGACTAAACATTATGTTTACCTTACAAGAATAACATGGCCCAAGTTACAAAATCCAATTCAACTGTGTCCTGTAAAAGGAAGCTCAGGCTTCAGCTCCTCTGCACTGTCCTCTTACTTATGGACACACGTTCGATTTGACCTTGTAATCCCTCCCCTAGAAATTTATCCTGTTTTGTTATTGTTGCTTTATCTTATCCTTAACCAGGTATGGGAGCACACACCTGTAATCCCAGAGATTTAGGAGGCTGAGGCAGAAGGATTCCAAGTTTTAAGCCAGCCTGGACAACTTAGAGAGACTCTGTCTCAAAAATATTTTTAAAAAGGTCGGATGATAAATAAAGCTCAATGGTGGAGCACGGTTGGGTTCAAAACCTAGTACCACCCAAAAAACAATTTTAAAAATTTTATATATTTTTTTTTATTTAAAAAAAGGGGGGGCTGGGGATGTGACTCAGTGGTTAAGAGCCCCTGGGTTCAAGGTTAAATCCCTGGTACCAAAAAAAATTTTTTTAAAATTATGGTATATCTGCATTGTGGAGAAATGATAAAAGCATAAGATAGTGTGCTGACCAAAAAATAACAATATGCTGAGTGAAAAATCAGGCACACAACAGTTTATATGAGATGCAATTGTTTCAAAAATATCTAAACACATGTATAAAAGCTTCACACACATATGCCTTATAGTCTAAAGAATATAACCAAATTCTAARAGGTAAGCAGACATAATTTCAACTATTTACCACATATAATTCTCGATTATATAAAGGCTATCCTTTCTGTATTTCTTGTTTTCATTATATTAATGTATCTTGAAAGTTTTTCTAATACTTATATACATATGAAATTAAAGAGCATTTGAAAAAAACATACAGACTGTTAATAATGGTCATCTATCAAATATAAGTTCTATGTTCCTTTATTTTTCTGAGGCACTGATTATTTTTTACCATCAAATGTAAATAAAGTTTTCTCCATTTTTGTAAAATTTCATAAAGTTAAAATTAGCACAAATTACTCTATAAGCAAAGAAAGGTTTTAACTTTATATACTTAAGCAACTTTTTGTTATTATTAAAAATACATATAAAGGGGCTGGAGTTGTAGCTCAGTGGTAGAGCACTTGCCTAGCACATGTGAGGCACTGGGTTTCATCCTCAGCACCACATAAAAATAAGTAAGTAAAATAAAGGTTAAAAAAAAAAAAAAAAAAAAACAGAAATATAGCCAGCACAGTGGTGCACACCTGTGTTGCCAGCTACTCAGGAGACTGAGGGAGGAGGATTCCAAGTTCAAGGTCAGTACCAGCAATTATTGAGACCCAGTCTCAAAATAAAAAATAAAAAGAGCTGGGGATGTAACTCAGTGGTAAAGCACCCTACCGTTCAATCCCCAGCACCAAAAATATGTGCATGTATATCAAAGAGAAAAGCAACAGGACAGCAAAATGCACAAGGTTTCACATCCAATGATAACCTCTCAAACATTCAAATGTCCACTCTTCCAGCCTTTTTGCAACACATATTTAGGTCAGTTGTTTCATTTATTCAAAACTGTACTTATACAAAGACAATTTCATAATCTGCTTTTGAAACACAAAACAGCATTTTGCCATCCATTTGCATTCAAATTCATAAAGGTTGTAATAATTTATTTTTCAGGAAATCAAGAGAAATAATCTTACTTTAAAATGAAGATGGGATCTAGGTATGGTTGCACACACCTATAATTCCAGCAACTCGAGAGGCTGAGACAAGAGGATGGCAAGTTTAAAGCCAGCCTCTGCAACTTAGCAAGGCCCTAAGCAACTCAGTGAGACCCTGTCTTTAAATAAAATTCAAAAAAGGGCTGGGGATATGGCTCAGTGGTTAAGTGCTCCTGTATTCAATCCTTTGTACCAAAAAAAAAAAAAAAAAAAAAAGATGGAAGCTGGGGTTACAGCTCAGTGGTATAGGAATTGCTTAGCATATGCAAGAGCCTAGGGTCTATACCCAGCTACACACACACACACACAATACAAACAGAATCAAAAATATTATTTTTTAAAAGACCTATTTCTAGAATATCTAATAAACACTATTTATTGATTATTTGCAAAAAGAAGGGTAAATCATTCAAAGTTTAGTTTCTTTTCTTTCTCTTTTTGGCAGTACTGAGGATTGAACCCAGGTCCTCACACATAGTAGGTAAGACCTCTACCAGTCAGCTATACTTTTAGACCTTTTCATTTTAGTTTGAGACAGGGTCTCATTAAGTTACCCAGACAGGCCTTACACTTATGATCCTCCTGCCTCAGCCCTCTTAGTAGCTAGGAAATCTTTTTTTTTTTTTTTTTTTTAGTTGTAGATGGACAGAATTCCTTTATTTTTTTTTTTTTTTTTTTTTTTAAGTTGTAGATGGACAGAATGCCTTTATTTTATTTGTTTATTTTTATGTGGTGCTGAGGATCGAACCCAGTGCCTCATGCATGCTAGGCAATCGCACTGTCACTGAGCTACAGCCCCAGCCCAGCTTAGGAAGTCTTTGATAAGGAAAATTAAACAAATTAAACACACACACACACAATACAGACAGAATCAAAAAATATTATTCTTTAGAAGACCCATTTCTTAAAAAATTAAGGAATGAGAATCAATTGAAGAGTAAACATCTTGATTAAATCTTTGGGCTGGGGATAGAGCTCAGTTGGTAAAGTGCTTGCCTTGCATGCATAAGGCCCTGAGTTCAATTCCCAGCACCATAAAAAAGAAAAAAAAAATCTTTTACTCATGTGCATTATACTATTGATACTACTGAAGATTGGAGTTATGAATTTACCACACCTTTTTAATATTCCTTTGAAATTCCTTATGGCGCACAGGTAGCGTATAAAATAATTGCTGCACACAGACTGATGTCCCTCTGGGTCGTGGGTAGGGGGTTTTCTGGACAATTTTCCCATTATGATCAAACACCAATCGAGTCCCAACCTTTGCAGATGTGTGGCAGGTAGAAATAGTTACATCACTGTAAGAAAACACCAGGCATGGCTGTATAGTTAGAGATTCACAAAGGTTAAACACAACACTATTTGATCTATTTTCTTTCCTTGATGATCCCTCTGAGATATTCAAGAGAGTTTAAATGGGTAAAGAATTATAAAATCTAAGGTTTGACACCTAAACATACTGAGAAAGTTCTATAAATGCTGTTTTGATAAAAGCGTTGATTTAGTTTTTTTAGGCTGAAGTGCAAAAACAACATATGATGTCAAAATTTAGTCACAAATATTTTTCAGCTTTGTTACTAATGTTCTAAAAAATTTGTAAAATAATCCAAAAGATATTAAAATTCAAATGTATAAATAATTACAATGTTTTAAAATCTTAGAACAAATAAGAATAGAATCTTTTAGATAGAATAGAATCTTTAGAATTTTAGAATAAATAAGTGTTTTGGTTAAATCTTTTCCTAGAAATTGAAAGTAAATCAAAACCAGTGATCCCTATAATTTATTACCTGTGTTTTCTATTTGTTTTTGCTGGAAATTAAACCCAAGGCCCCACCCATGCTAGGCAAGCATTCTACCACTGAGCTACTTACCCAGCTTCAGCATTACTTTAAAATTGAGAAACTACTGCTTTAAAATGGACAACAATGTTTTTTACAATACTATTTGTTTCATTTCATCATTTATTGCTCAAGTTTCAAAAGATTATCATTTAGACTGTCAGATAAAAATTCAGAAGTTAGAGATTGATACTTTCTGATAGGAAAGAGTAAATAAGGGCTGGGGCTGTAGTTCAGCAGTACAGCACTTTGCTAGCAACCATGAGGTACTGGGTTCCATCAAAAAAAAAAAAAGAAAGAAAGAAAGAAAGAAAAAGAAAAGTGTAAACAATAATGATTCTAATCATACTTATCAATTTTCAAAAGAATTTGTATAAGGGTCAAGTTAATGGATAAAAATGCCGTATCACCTCAGTGCACAAAGTGAGCTCAGAGCTTCCCCCCGAAAGCCAAAAGTTTCAACCTGAGTGAGGTCAGCGAACTCCTGAATCTTAGAAGTGTGATGTTTCAGAGCTGAAAAAAGAGTGTAAGGTAAGATGTCTCAAGGATAAGTAAATATACACAATGACTACCAAAGTAACTGGTTTTAAAAAGATGTGTTTCCTAAGACAGTGTTATTCAAAATTCCAAGACATTTGGCCCAATTATATCATATATTCAACTTACCTAGGCCTTCAAAATTTTCTTCTTCTACCCCACATCCATTGTCTGAAACTTCAATGAGATCCACTCCATAGTCTTTAAGCCTTAGATCTAAAAAGTTTAAAATATTTACTTCTCAAGATTGACCCATGCTGAAAAGCTTTTATGTATTAATATTTGCAATATATGATACAAATTTAAGTTATAACCATAAATTTAAACATACTACTGTCATTTTGTATATTTTATTTTTTAAAGTCCTTTTGGGCTTTTTACTGACCAAGATTCAATAATTTTTAAATTTTTTTTCTCTCTCAAAAGGAATAATTTTAACATAAGTCATTAAAGAGAACAGGCTCTGAATCAAGACTTCCTAAGTCATATTTTACTACCTTTATAATCTAAAAAAAGGTAAGTTCCTTATGCCTTAATTCCTCACCAATATAATGGAGATAATAACATCTAACTCACAGTTATTCTGTATATTAAATGAAATATGCCATGTATAACTCTTAGCACAATGCCAGCCTGGCATGTAGTAAGAACACAATAAAACTTAACCATTATTATTATTCTTACCTCACAGTGCTAGTACAATAAATGGTAACTTTAACATTAAAATAGCAATTCATTGGTATGTTAACACTTCATGGTTTTATTACAGTAACAAATGGTTCTTCAATGAAATTATATAAACTGATTATTTCTTGAGGCTTAACACTTTCCTAAACTTACCAATATTAGTAGCACCAGCATCCACACTATTTTCTACCAATTCTTTCACAGCAGTGCTGAGATTCAGTACTACCTGCCCAGAACAAATCTGATGAACTGACTTCCGGTCGATAGGTTTTATGGCTTTAGCAAGTTCCGTACTAAAGAAAACAGTTATAAGAAACAAAACAAGTATTCAAACAAATCAAGTAATGCATTTTTCACTCTGATATTAACTGTGGGAAATGACTGATCAGTTATTTAGTGGACCTAACCCATTCATTTATTATATGAACATATTCATTTATTATATTCACAAACACAAATGCTCTATCATCCTTAAACATCTGCCAAAAATACTTCTGAATAGTTGCTTCACATTCAATAGAGAATTAAATTGAATTATACATGAAACTACATGTAGGAAACATGTATTCCTCAAGCTACAGGTCAATAATCTTTTACAAAGAGATCTTTCTTGAAAAGCAAAAGCAATATTGCCCATACAATTTGAAAAACTAAAAGAATGGTGGGAACAAACAATGTTTATGCCAAAACCATCTCAGAAACTGGAGTGCCAGTTGTCTTACTATTCCCATAGCTGCCTTCGAAACTCCCATCCAAATCCAAGCTGCCAGCTATGCCTTGGCAAAGATCCTCAAAGTCCTTCCTGTATGTGCTTTCAGAGTTTTACAACTATTTGGTCTCTAATCCATTCTCCATACTATCACCCATTATTTTTGAAGTCACAAATCTAGTCAGATAATTTTTAAAAATTTATTAGTATTTTATTGCCTATTATATGAAATTTAAAATTAACCATGACTGGATCCCAATCTACCTTATTTTCTCATTCTCTTTCATCCTTCTCCCTCCATCAAGTCCCTACATTTTAGTCACAGTAAACAAGCAGTTCCTGTAAAGGACAACCTCTTTTAGACCTTTTGCTCTGTTTGGAGTCTTCTGTCTAAAGTGCCTCACCCCCTTCCAGGCCAAAGTCTTTCTCATCCACCAAAAAAAAAAGAAAAGTATTCTATATCTTCATTAATATGTAGACATTTTCAACAAATGGTTCAACTCATTGGTTGGATAAAATAGAACACAGGAGCCTCCCAGGAGAAAAATCTTTGTATTTTCCACAGCATCTGAAACATACCTAACAGACCTTCAACAAATACTAAAACAGAATAAATAATCCAATTAATTCCCCCTTCTACCTTGCAAAGAATCTCACTTAACTTTACAATGTGCAACTGCAGATGACCTCGCAGAAAATGGAAAGTTATCTCTAAAAAATCAGTTTATTTGGCAATACATCATAGGCTGAAGGTCCATTTCAGGTACTCAATTTGAGGTGGGGGTCGGGTGAGGCACAACATTTAAATACAAACTGCGAATGTGCGTTGACATTGAATGCAACTGTGCTGACATCAGACTCGCTACATGTAATTCGGTGTAACTTGCCAGCCAGAAATCAAATACTCAAAGAACGGCCATGCAAATTAGCATGCGCTATGAGCTAATCCTAACCCCAATTAGAGTCAGACACACACGAGGTAAAAACGGAAACTAATTCTAGGTGGATTGCATGTCCCAGACTCAGGTCCGCCGTTTAGTGACAGCATTTAGGGAGGCCCGCCCAGCGCGAGCCAAATCTATCACACTCAGGCGCCGACTCCCCACCCGCAGTCCAGAATCAGGAACTGGCGTCTGGCCTCACAGAACACTTTCACTGAGAACCCGGCCTGGGCGAACCTCGAACGCCACTCCGGGCCGTGCTCGCCGCGTGCCTAGGCCACTTCCTATCCTTTCCACAAAGGTGGCCCCCCAAGAAGACCATGAGTCCCCCTCACCTGGGACCCTCAACTCCTTCCATGGACCCTGAACACGACTCGCTTCCAGGACTGAGAGTTCCCGCTGCTGTTCTGACACGGGCCGAGTTTCCCGGCTGCCCATTGGTGGACTTTGGTGCCAAGTCCCACCCCTTCCGGGAGGGGCAGCGAACGCTTCCCAGAACTCCTTCTCGTGGATTCGTTATATCAAAGGTCGAGTCAATGACGTCCAGAACGCCTGAACCAATTAGAACTCACGGACTGCGTTTTCCCGAACGCCTCAAGCAGGGTCAGAAAGAAGGTAGCCGTAGTTCGTCGTGACCCCAGACGGTTTTTTAGCGTTYGTGTCCCACGCCCGCCACCTTCCTTCCTTTGGTTCCCGCCATGCCGATGTACCAGGTAAAGCCCTATCACGGGGGCGGCGCACCGCTGCGTGTAGAGCTTCCCACCTGCATGTACCGGCTCCCCAACGTGCACTGTAGGACCGGCAGCCCCGCGCCCGAGGCGGGCCACGTGCAGGTAGGAGTGCGCGGCTCCCGCCCAGTGCGCAGGCGCTGCGTCCGGGCCGCACCCCGCATCCCCGCCACCTCTCCAGTGCGCAGGCGCTGCGTCGGCCGGGACCCGCCGGACCTGGCCAGGACCCACCTATCTGGGACAAACTGGGCCCTGGACCCGGCTGCCAGCCCCACTCTGGCCCCACGTACCGCCCGGTCTTCGAATCATCCTAAATTATATCTCTTAAAAGATCTATCTATCTTTTCTCTACTTTTTTGGCATTAGACTTCTTAAGAATTTTTATTGTGAAATTTTACCCACAGAAAAGTGGCTAATACGTAATACTCATTTTGAAGAATTAGCGAACTTCAAAGTCACCACCACCCCAGTTTGACACTTATTATCAGCGCCCCACCTTCCCATTTACAACTTTCCTCCAAGGGTCCTGACTGATGGTAGTAATGTCTTGCTTGTCCCTGTTGTTTTGCATGCTAAGTATATATCCCTATACAATATAGTCTTTTTTAAAACTCTTTTAAATAACTATTTATTTATTACGTGGTGCTGAGGATCGAACCCAATGCCTAACGTGCTAGGCAAGCGCTCTAGTACTAAACCACAACCCCCGCCCTACAATATAGTCTTGCTGTAAGACATACAGTATCTTTCTATTGTGACTGCCTTTCTTTTGTAGACGTGATTTTTAAGTGTAATTTTACTGCAACAGTGAAGTGTTTGTCTTCTCTGCAGTGTGATGTTCCACTGAGTGTCTATACCACCATTATTTTTCTTCCTGCTGCTCATGGGCACTGGGTTGTTTTCCATTTTCAGCAATTCTGAATAATCCTGCAGCAAATAGTCTTATTCATTACCTGACACAGGATATAAACTAAGAAATGGGATCGTTGGCCCAATGGGCAGATCAGTCTTCTACTTTACTGGATAAATGGCTTTCCAAAGTGGTTATACCAGTTTATGCTTTCACTAGCCTTGGAGAATTCTTCATGTTTGCACTCTTCACCAAGCTGATGGGCGTCTAATGAAGTCATCTTAATGTAGGTGTCCTAAGGTAGTTCTAGTTTGGATTTCTCTAACTTTAAGTAAATTGAATGCCTTTTCATGTTTTCTTGGCCATTTTGATTGCCTATCTTATAAATATTTTCACTCTTTTATCGATTGCAAATGCATATCTGGATTTCTAGTAGCAAAAACATTCTGTCCCTTCTGACAGGAGGTGAGTAAATAGATTTTTGTGGTCAGTTTTCCCATTGTGTATTATGCTTCACTTTGTCGTAATGATTTTTTGCCTAGATTGGAAGGAATGTTAGTTTGAAACCCAAGGACATTAATAATCGTCTCACTACAGAGCTAAGCCAAAAATGACAGATATGGTTCAGTGGTCCTTCAACTAGAGACTGCCACGGAGACATGGCCCAGTGCCCCTTCAATTGCACAATCCAAGAGAACCATAAAGAAAACCTGGAGAGGGATGTCATACCTTTTTTTTTTTTTTTTTTTTTTTGGTACTGGGGATTAAAACCAGGGGTATTTTATTAGTAAGCTACATCCTCAGCCCTTTTTTATTTTTGAGTTGCTGAGGCTAGCCTTGAACTTGTGATCCTCCTGCCTCAGCCTCCCTAGTCACTGGGATTACAGGTGTGTGTCACAATGCCTGTCTGTCATCTCTTATTTGAGACCCAAATTTTGTTCATTTAAATCTGCTGCCTGAGTTCCTTTGAGCTTTAATCTATGAATTTATGACTTAGAAAATACATAGTCCTGCAGCTCTGGCAAATCCCTTAGCACATGTTAATATAGATACACAAATAATTAGAAACCAAGCATATCTAGAGCAAATGAGAGTAACACAAAGAAGCAGTTGCTTCTAAATACATATGAGATAAAACAAATGAGTACCAAGTCACAATCTCTCACCTCAACAAGGAAAACTAAGGCCAGCACTGGAAGGAATCCATGAGATAAAGCAGATCTTGCAGATCTTGAGCATTTTGGCATTATTTAGATCAAGAAGAGCTAGGTCAACCTGTGCTGGGCTCAGAAATCACAGACCATGTCACATGTACAGTTCTTACTTCAGACATTCCCAGAGTGGGTTGACTGAGTTTTTAATTTAGTTGCTCTTCTTTGGCCCTACTGGGTAAGTAGAAATGAGCAAAACTGTGTATGGGTTGGTTACAAGAGATTGGAAATGTTACTCAGGGGGAGCRTCTTCACATAACAGGATGTTATCCAGGGGCTAGTCCTACCTGTTGCATCTTGCATTCAAACTCACTTCCAGCCAGCACTTAATTATTTAAGTGGCATCCTTTATTATTATTTATTCTATCTAGAAGTCAGTGGACTTAAATTCCTTTGATGTCTAAAATTTTAAGAGCAACAAGCAAGGAGAGATGAGATAGTGCTTATTAAGTGCCAGCATAAGTAGAAGTTAATCAGACCACAGAGGAGAAAGTATTGCAGATGGAGGGAACAGCATGTGTGAAGATCCTGTGGTAGAAGGGAGCCTGATGTTTTAGAGACTTATAATGGTGTGGTTTAAGTGCAGAATAAGGGAGAGAATTGTGTCAGAGACACCAAGATTCTAGATAATACAAGGTATTTTTTAAGCCATGTTAAAGACTTTTATTTTAAGAGCCTAAGCAATTTGACTCGTCACYACAGGGGAAATGGTGACAAGGTCCAAATTTGTTTTTAAAACTAACTAGTATTTTAAGGAATGAATTGGAGCAGCAGATCAGAATGGGTGCTATGTGACCAGTAAGGAAATTGGGCCAGATGAAAAAAATGGTGGCCTGGCCTTGGGTGGTGATGGTAAAGGCAATCGTAAAAGCCAGAGGATTCCAGAAATATTTGGGAGGTAAAACTAGCAGCAGCACCTGGTGATAAGTTGGATATAAGAGAGAGGGAGGTGTGACTGGTGGGGGAGCAGATGTTCCTAAGAAAATTGAACTTGGCTTCACACAAATGTAAGCAAATACTCCTCCACTTCCATTGTATCATGAGTACTTAATTATAATAAACTCAAAGTCATTGCCACTTTTTTGATTATTCTAACTAATATGAGCATTTTCCTGATGCTGAATTTATTTGTTCCCTCAACTCAAAATGGATCATCTGTTGTGAGAACTCACAAATCTGTAAACAGGTTGTATGATATGACTGTGGGGAGGTTACTTGTTATTGCCTTTTAAAGTACGTCTGTAGGACATATTTCTCAGCAAATATTATTGGTTATTTTCTATGTACCAGACAGTGTACTGTGTAAAAAGAATGCTGCTGGGTGGGGTGGCACATGCCTATAATCCCAATGACTTGGGAAGCTGAGACAGGAGAATCACAAGTTTGAGGCCAACCTCAGCAACTTAATGAGGCTCTGTCTCAAAATAAAAAAGGGCCAGGAATGGAGCTGGGGTTGTGGCTCAGCGGTAGAACGCTTGCCTAGCATGCGCAAGGCCTTGGGTTCGATCCTCAGCACCACAGAAAAGTAAATAAATTAAATAAAGGTATTGTGTCTAACCAAAAAAAAAAAAAAGGCCAAGGGTGGCTCAATGGCTGAACACCCCTGGGTTTAATACAGAGTACCAAAAAAAAATTTCACACCCTGCTGAAGGAGCCTTCTTGAATTCTGTCTGTGCTCCCTTTTCCCTTCTGTCAGTGTAAATTATTAAGTTAGTCTCATTGCTCCCTCCCACTCTTTGTTAACTAATGTAAGTATTTTTAACTACTTTATTATTAAGAATAGAGAGTGTTGGGTGCAGTGGGAGGCTAAGGCAGCTAAATTGCTTGAGCCCAGGAGTTTAGGGCCAGCCTGGGCAACATGGTAAGAACGAGTCTCAAAAAACCATTAGCCAGGTGCCTACAATCCCAGCAGCTCAGAAGCTGAGGCAGGAGGATTGTGAGTTCAAAGCCAGCCACAGCAAACTTGAGGCAATGAGCAACTCAGTGAGACCCTGTCTCTAAATAAAAAAAAAAAAAAAAAAATATATACACACACACACACACACATACACACACACATACACACACACACACACAAAATAGGGCTGGGGATGAGGCTCAGTGGTCAAGTGTCCCTGAGTTCAATCCCTGGTACCCCCACCCCCCAAAATTATAAAGTGATTTGTGTTCATTTTCTACCCTTCTCTATTCTTGGACAAAATTACCTGAAATAGGAATCAGACAATTTCAAAGTGACTTTAAGTCACAATGTTTCTCCCTTATTTTAGAGCATTTGTGGATCTATTTGGAGAACCTGTTAGATGGGAGGGTTGGGGGATGAAATGATTTTGCTGATTCATTGTAATGGCTTTTAAAGAGTGGCGAGCGGATGGGACAAAGTAAAACAAGTGATCAAATGTAGGCCAACTGTGTGGATGTTGGTTTGTTTAGGAAGCATCTGACCCCTCTCTGCAAGCTCTTGAGTCCCGCCAAGATGATATTTTAAAACGTTTGTATGAGTTGAAAGCTGCAGTCGATGGTCTCTCCAAGATGATTCACACACCAGATGCAGACATGGATGTGACAAACATCATGCAAGCTGATGAGCCCACTACTTTAACAACCAATGCATTAGATTTGAATTCAGTG